TGGGGAGTTCTTCGGGCGGAACAATTTGGTCGGAACAATTTGGTGGTGAATGCGTTTTCTGGAAATTTCTGAATGCGATATTTCAAATGATCAGACGGTGGAGTGCCACAGGAGTTCTTCGGGCGGAACAATTTGGTGGTGAATGTGTTTGTTCTTCAGGCGGGGCGATTTGGTGGTGAATGCGTTTTCTGGAAATTTCTGAATGCGATATTTCAAATGATCAGACGGTGGAGTGCCATCATGTGGGAGTTCCACATGACCCTATGGTTTTTTTTTGGCAAGGGCACTTGAAGCAGGGCACCCCAAAGACTTGGAAAGGCATGTTGACCCTACAATGCATGAGGTGCTCATGGACAATTCTCACAGACCACCATACTTGTTGGCATGCCGGCGCATAGAATTCATCAAGAAGTACACTCAACTGGCACAAACATCCAGAGCAGAGGAGCTCAAGCTGAGACTCAATATGCCGGCGCGCATCCGGAAGTTGATGACTGGAAAAAGGCTTTACCTACTTGGCACCATGCTTGTAGACTTGGGTTTTCCAGATCACGATCTTTTACATAATCTCTGCAATGGATTCTAACTCAGTGGATGGATGCCTGATTCCAAACTTTTCCCGCGCAGAGTCCCTTCCTTGCGCTTCTCGGTGGGCCACACTGATGAGAGATCTGCTGAATTGCAACAATGTTTGAGAGAAACCATCAACAATGGAGGGTTATCCACCAAGGAAGCTGAGCGAGTGAGGGGAAGAATGATTTCCTTTGATTGTCATGTCTTTGGGAGGATTGCAAACCTTGATTTGAAGGAATTGGAAACCTTTGTCGCCTGGGCTTAACCCCAGCATTTTGGATGAATGTGAAATTTCTGTTGTTCAAAAATGTTTGACTGGTTGGATTCTGCAAAACCTACTCCCCTTGGAATCAACAACCTTTCGACATGGCTGATCTTCACGGATGGCGCCTGTGAAGATAGCTCTACCACCGGGAGTATTGGAGGTGTACCGATTGCACCCAATCACCGAGTGGTTCATCATTTTGGTTGCAATGCGACCGTGGAAGTGATGCACCACCTTTGGCTTTCCTCCAGACATCCTATAAATGAACTTGAGATGATTCCTGTCCTGGTCTCGTTTAGACTATGGGGACAGCTTTCCCGTGGATGTCAAGTCGTTCATTACATAGATAATGAATCGGTTAGGTTAGCGCTCTTGAGAAGGAGCGGTGAAACCTCTGTTGCAAAGCATGTAGCTGCCAGGATAATGGATTCGGAATGTTACTTGGGAAAGAAATCCTGGTATGCAAGGGTTTCAAGCGCTAGCAACTTAGCGGACGACCCTAGTGTGGAAACTGTGATACTCTGACGAAACTTGAGAGATCCTTTTTTCCGTGGACTGGAAGGACGTGCTTGCGAGCTGTGGTCCGTAAGTGGGGATTGCAACGGATCTCGAAGCAGCGTTCCCCACAGATGGAAAAAGGCAACGCGTTTGATCTCCATTTCGTCGGCACTCATGTTGTTTCCACAGCTTTGCATGTGTATATATATTTACATATATATTTTTGTACTTGTTATTAAGTACGGGTTGATTCGTATACACTTTTTCAGTGTGATTGTTTTAACTTTGCAAGTGGGTTTGTGTTGCGGTAATAACGCGTAGTCGCTCGCAGGTTCCAGGTTCCCCTTTTGGAAACCTAGTGGAATAAGGGTCCCCTCCGTCCAAGGCACGAGGTAAGGATGTACCCTTTATTCCTGTAGGTTTCTTGGTCTTTGAACACAAAGTGTTCAAAGACCTTGGGTAACCTGGAATTATCAACTTCTAAACTTCTGAGCGTTGCGCGTTGCGTAGGAATTTACGCGAGAGTTACCGCTACAAACCTTTTTCCAATTTTAACCAAATGTCCAACAAACTGATGTCATTTGCAGAACCTGTGCCTTTTGAACTTGGCAGTCATCTGTTCTTATCAGTGTGAAACATGTACATGTTTCAAAGTGATGTGCGGTTCTCTTGGCAAGGGTCTGTTCTTATCAATGTGACATCTATTTTTCGTGTTGGCATTTTGGTCTCAAGTGGCATCCCCCACGAATTTTTGTTCACCCACCCAAATCGTGGTCTTTCTCCACGTTTTCTTCCCAACCCGGGGAGGGGGATGCCTAACCCGAGCGTTATTGCAACGGATCTCGAAGCAGCGTTCCCCACAGATGAAAAAAGGCAATGCGTTTGATCTCCATTTCGTCGGCACTCATGTTGTTTCCACAGCTTTGCATGTGTATATATATTTATATATATATTTTTGTACTTGTTATTAAGTACGGGTTGATTCGTATACACTTTTTTCAGTGTGATTGTTTTAACTTTGCAAGTGGGTTTGTGTTGCGGTAATAACGCGTAGTCGCTCGCAGGTTCCAGGTTCCCCTTTTGGAAACCTAGTGGAATAAGAGGAAAGTCAAAGGGCAAGAAAGGAAAGAGCAAAGATGGTCAGAAAGGTAAAGGAGCAGGTTACAATCAATGCAAAATCTGTTTTGGCTATGGTCACTGGAGTGGAGAGTGCCCACAACGCATGGATGTGAACAACGTGCAGCAAGATACTAGCTACACTGGCTCTCCAGCCAACAACAATGGAGCTTCGTCGTCTTCAGTGTATCGACAAGGTCAAGGTGAACAGTCTCCAGTGCAGCCGAAAACAGGAACAGTGCGCAGGATTTTTCACATCACTCCTTCCTCATCATACCCTTCTTCTCCTACATCACCAGCTTCAAGTAGGCATGTGAGAATGGTTGAATTTTTGGATAGCTCAGAGGAAGATATGCATGTGAGAAAGGTGACCGGTGAGGAATAGATTATTTTGGACAGCGGTTCAGATGTGAGTTTGCTTCCTGCAAGGTTTTCAGTGGATGGTAACACAACTGCAGGTACCAGTTTGCGAAACTGTCAAGGTGGAAAGCTCAAGACATGTGGCACTAGATACACAGACCTTCAAGTGCGTGACGTTGAAGGTGAAGAAGTTCTTTTGCGTCATGAGTTTATTGTTGGCGATGTGACTACAGGTTTGGTTTCGCTTGGGCAGTTGTACCAAGCAGGCTGGAGAATTGATGGTGAAGGCAACATTGAACTTTTCCTGGTAGATCCACAAGATCAAATCAAAGTGCCTGTGTATTTCAAGAATCAAGAACAAATCGTTTGCAATCAGAGCATGTGTGCGTCATGTTGAAGAACGAGAAGATGATGGTGACTCAGATGTTTCTTCCTTTCATGTGTGTACTATAGTTCAAGTGTTTGAGGAAATGGAGCTCTGTGATTTCAACACGTGGCAGATGATAGAGTCTGGAACACCCTACATCAAGAATGTGGGGAACAGCTAGGTTGATCCCCGACCAACTTGGGGGCACTATTGGCCTTTCAGAACAACTCTAGTCAGAAGGACAAACACCACCGACAGTTGGACATTGGTGGAGATGACCCAACGTTTCATGGACAAGGATGAACCATTTGGATTGATTGATGAGTGCATATTCAACATGGACGGCGAGTGCGAGATTCTTACAATTCTTGGAGTTGAAGAACATGGATTTGAGGAGTTTGGAGATTTACTAGATGAAGATGAAGAGGTGGATGGACCACTTCGACTTCCTGACTCACAACCTCAGGAACAACAACCAGCAGTTCCAGTTGAACAACGTCAAGATGTTTCTCAGGGTGCAGTTTCAAGCAAGGATGTTCAAGTGCGTGAACCTCCAGGTCTTTCTCAACAAGATCCTCTTGGTGGAGAAGAGCCTGCAGCAGCTTTAGCAGATGTAGCTTTTCCTGAGATTGAATCTGTGGAACTGGACTATGGTTTGATTTTGACAAGTGAGTCTCCAGTCAAAGACTTGCGCGCAGGTTGTCGTTTGCTGGGAATTTCACAAGCTGGATCAAAAGGCAAGATGTTTGAGCGTATCAAGAAGAGCTATGTTCAAGGTATGAGACGTGCAGCAATTGACATGGCAAGAGCAGAATATCAACGAGAAGAACATCCTGCACAACCATCGTCAACCAACTCAGCGTGAACGTTCTCTCCTTGAATTGATTCACCTACCGTACAGGGATTGGTGTCCGTTTTGTGTCTCAACTCGTGCTCGAGGTGACTATGATGCAAGTCATGCTGACCCTGATCTCGCAGCAGAGCGAGATCGACCCACAATCCAAGTTGATTTTTACTTTTGTGAAAATCGTGATAAGTCAGAAGTCAGAAGGTTCTCGTGGGGTCAAGCCGATTTTGCTTATGGTGGATTCATGGACAAGATATGCACATGCAGAACCTATCAAACCCAAGAACGCCAAGACGGTTGGAAGTGCAATTTCAAAATTTGTTGGAAGTCTGGGTTATGTTGGTGCGGTTGAAGTTTGTGGAGACAAGAGAATGTTTTGGTCAGTGGCATGGAATTTTTCAAGCAGGTCAGAGCTCGTCAAGGCTTTAGCACAACGGTCACGACCAATCGCAACTACAGCAAGGATCGCACTAGCATTTGTGAACAAACAATTCAGACTGTCCGCAATTTGCAGAAGACACTGGTAATGCAACTGGAGGAATCAATCAAGTGCAAGATTCCACAAGGACACGCAGTTCTTTACTGGGCGGCAATGCACTCCACCTGGCTCTACAACAGATATCATACTCACAGTACCACAAAGATCACACCATACCAAGCTGTGAATGGACGACCGTATCACAACAGAATCGCTTGTTTTGGACAGGTGACACATGGACTTGATCCGAAAGGATCCAAGTATCGACCTACCTGGAAGAAAGGGATATGGTTAGGAAAAGATGGTTCTGATCATGATGTTCTGGCTACAGCAGCTGGCACAATTACAAGGACAAGGTCAATTCGAAGAACGGCGCTTACATGGTCTGCAGATGAGATTTTGAGTTTGGTGATTGGACCGTGGGACACCACGGGCTACACGCAGTCAAAGGTGAAGCAGAAACCAGTTCTGGCTTTACCACCTAGACCATTCTTTGATGAAGCAGAAGCAGTCAAAGGACTTCAAGATTCAGATGACGAACGTGAACAAGTTCAACAAGAAGTTCAATCCAACGCATATGAGCCCACAACACCCGATGGAGAAGGTCGTCGACTTGAAGATGTCACAGAACAAGATGATGGTCGACTTCCTGTTCCTTCTCTTCCTCCTCTATGTGCAGTACCGGTTGATCCCGGAATGGAAGCACCACAGACGCCAGAAGAGATGTTGATGTCTGGCGGAGGTGGGGCTAGTCCTTCAAGCCCTACAATGGATGTAGACTCATCAGGTCATGCAGCATCCAAACACAAGGCAGAGACTCAAGGTGGCACAGTAGCAAAGGCTTTGAAGTTTGATAGCGACCCAGTTCCAGAGCCAAAAGTCAAAGCGGCAAAGATGGACGTTAGACGTGCTGGTGAAGTGGAGATCACACACAATGATGTGATTGGTGTGGAAGATGACTGGGAATTTCTTCCTTATGAGGATGTAGACTCAGAGGACGAAGGTATCAACAAACGTCTTGAAGAAGACGGCCCACCTACAGTTTCTCCTGAAAAGCTTGCGGAGTTGGATGCACAAGCAGCTTTGGATGAGGTTGCCAAGTTGTATGAAATGCACGTGATTGCACCAGAAGAGATTGATGTGAGAACAATCCCGAGCCACAAGCTCGTCGACACCACTATTGCAAGTGATTGGCGCTACAGAGCGAACAAGTGGCGCAGAAGATGCAGGATAGTAGCAAGAGAGTTCAAGTCCGACAACACAGACGAGAACAACTTTGCACCAATCACAACCTTTGGTGCAGTTCGTATTCTCCTAGTCCTCAGCATGGTTTTCAACTTGATGCTCACTGGAATTGACGTGAAAGATGCTTTCTTGTGTGTTGAACAGCAAGAAGAGATGTTTGTGGTAATCCCTCAATGGATCAGAGATCTATCTCCAGAAGACAAGTCTACAGTTTGGAGATTGAAGCGTTGTTTACCAGGACAACGAAATGCAGCTTTGCGATGGTTTGAATATTTCTCCAATTTGTGTCAAAGTGCTGGAATGGAATCTTACAAGGGATGTCCCACAATCATGAAGTTGGTGAACAGTGAGAGACGAGTTTATCTATCGGTACATGTGGATGATGTGCTGTTGGTTGGAAATGAAAAGGATTTAGAATGGTTCAAGAAGGAAGTTGCTTCCGGTCTCACGATCAAGGTTGACGGTCCTCATGCACAAGGTTCAGGTGACACGATGTTTTACCTCAAGAAGCGTATTACACTTTTGCCTGAGGGGATTTGGTTGCAGCCCAATGGTACCTATATTCCCAAGCTCATCAACATGTTGAAGATTTCTGGCAGAAGAAAGAAGGGTCTTCCACATCATGTGGTTCTCGAAACATAAAAATCAGAGTTTCCAGGGCAAGATGTGCTCACAGGTGAAGACGCTTCGTTGTTTCGTTCAGCATTAGGTTTGATTCTCTATGTTTCTCATGACCGGCCAGATATTTCGTTTGCGACAAAGACCCTGGCTACATGGATGTCCTATCCTTGCATGAAAGCGATGGCAGCTCTCAAGCATTTGGCCCTGTACTTGTCAGGAACAGAGCATGTTGGTTTGATGTTGAGAAAATGTGAAACCTATGAGGATGTGTTTCACCGATGGATTGAAGCAGATGAATGGAGGGACGTGACAAGAGAGCAGAGAAAAGACAGAGCGGTTTTCAACTTCGACATCTTCTCAGATTCGTCATGTGGAGATGATCGTTCTACCAGAAGATCAGCAAGTTCATGTTTCATGTTTCATGTTTGTGAATGGTGCGTATATTTCAAGTTTCAGCAGAACACAAGCAACAGTAGCACTCAGCTCATGTGAGGCAGAACTGTATGCAGCGAATGCAGCAATAGCAGAAGGTTTGTTTCTAGTTCGAGTGTGCAAATTTCTTTGCGGTGATCAAAAGGGTGAAAACAGTGGTGAAGTGAAAGTGAAATTGCATGTTGACTCATCAGCAGCGATGGGTACAATTCAAAGAGCAGGATTTGGTCGAATGAAACACCTTCAAATCCGTCATCTATTTCCTCAAGATCTCTTGCGGATGAAAGTTTTCAGTTTGCACAAGATCAGCACAAAGATGACTCCGGCAGATCTGGGAACGAAAAAGCTAGGATTAGAACGTAGAAAAGATCTCGGGCGACTCATTGGTATTTTCACTGGTGAAGATGAAACGTCAAGACAAACAGAAGTTTTGCAGACAAGAAGAGTTCAAATGATATTGATGACGGCATTTCAAGCAGCAGCAGCATCACTTTTGCAGGGATGCTCTTCTCCATCTTCCTTCCTGCCAGGCCAATCAAGTACTTCTCCTACAGCGACCTCTATGGCAGATCTTCGCAGCGGCATGGTGCTTGGCGTAGTGCTGATGCTCATGATGGGTATGTTGGTCATGATGGTTCCTGGTGAAGCTTCAAGATCACGAAGCCGTTCCGATCCACAACCAGAGTATGCGAATGTTCAACAGTGGACCGATGAGATGAGAAACTTTGTGGCTACGACATTCGTTTTGTCAGCCAAAGCATACTGGATTGATGGACAGCATGATCAGTTTTCAATTGAGAACATGTTTAACCACCTACGGCTAGCAGCGTTACTTTTGAAGAACGATGAGAAAGAGGCTGTGGAATATTTCATTACGGCCGTTGAGGTGAACGACTCCGAGGAGATCATGGCTCAGGTGAGAAATATGCGGATGTGCATGGATCTTCCTCACGTTAACCTCCTTCACGCCGAGGCTTGGTTATGGGAAGAGTTTCGTGATGGTTTACAACGAAAAGCAGATGCGAGTGATGAGTTTTCTTTGTTCCAATTGTGGAGCATTTGAAGCGTAGATGGGATACACCTCCGGGAGAAAGTGACCGCGGAGGAGACGAAGACGCAGCATCTTCGAGGAGCTCAATAGCGAACAGAAGTGGAGATGAAGATGTTCGGGAATCACCAGCCCGGGAGTTTGAACTCAGGATGACAATGAATTTGCCAAGGTCAGAAGCAATTCAGGTAGCTCAGACGATAGCAGATGCACATGGACGAGAATTAGTGGTCGAAAGACCAGCTGGATCAGATGAACGTGAACAAGGAGACAGAGATGGACAAGACCCAGAACCTGGGAGTAGCAACAACAATACGCTTGGAAGAAGCAGTGAAAACACTACTCTGAACAGCAGAACTACTCAGAATACCACAGAGGAGGAGAATGACAAGATCGAGCAAGCTATGGCAGAAGCAAGAGCTAGCCTACGTCGTGGAATCCGTGTCTTGCAGTCGCGCGCTACGCGCTATGAAGAGTTGGGCGACCACGATGCCGCAGAAGAAGTCAGACGTCAGATTGACGACATGGAGGCAATGGAATCTTCAATTTGAGAGGTTGCAATCAGCGCATGCGGCAGCTGTGGTGAACGCCGGGCAAAGTGGTGACGCAATCAGTGCATATGAAAGTGAGAGGCAAACGCATGTGAAAACAGTTTTTCCGGTAACAACCACCTGCGGAACTGTAGAATTTACAAATGTAAGGTGAGGTGCAAATAGGTGCCAAAACTTGCAAAACGCACGAACTTTTGGCAAGGTGGGGTGTAAAGATATATCCACTGCACTCACCCATGTCATGTCATGCTCAGTTGGATGTGTAGTATCTGTTCTTATCAGTGTGACAGTTGATGCATGTCACAGGTCTGCATAGGCCACTGCGCAAGGATGACACGCCACTGGATGGTGGCTCAAGGCTCAAGCAACGCGAGTGAGGAAACAACTGTGTGTGAGCGTAGAAGTGGGCCGCCGTGTTTTGAGAATTTCTTGGTTCCGCAATGGGAACCCCATGTATTGCACAGTGATGACCTGATTCTGGAGGCAACAGGTTTGGTTTTATGCGTCACAAATGCCTTCGCATGATGTTGTCAGGATTTTGATACCGTCTCCACACGTTTGGGTGTTTTGTTGGCCGATTTTCTGCAGAAGATGTTCCGGCCTTTTGTTTCACTATCCACGTCGCATGGCGAACCAGGTTCTTAAACTACATGATTTTCGGACTTGTAAGACCGTAAAATTAAATTTCTTTTTGGTCGAAAAATGGAAAATGTGGTTCGTGGACAAAATCCTCATGAAACATCTGTTGCGTTTTCATGATCGCGTGTTTACGTGGGCGGTTTGTTTCCCTTGATGCTGAAACTCGGATCAGGAAATCAGACCAACCTTATTGAAATTATATAGATCATGGGTAAATATTGGGGTTCATCACTGTTCGGTGATCGTTGTACACATACTTGCTGTATGAATCATGTTTTTGGCACAGTGTTTAAAAAAACACCAATCACTAATTGCGTAGTTGTGCCTTTACCAAAATTCCCGAATAGGTTTGTTCAGATTTGGCAGCATTCACACCAGCAAAAAACCGAACTGGGCAGTACAATGAATGCATCTGTTTGTGGCACACCTATTTTTTCGATAACACTGGTTGAATTGAGCGAACATTTCTGGTTTGCCGTTTGTTTCATTGTCAATTTTGATATCAAAACACATTGTTGCAGGGTTATCTGTTTTGCAAGTTGGGCCATCGAATCGGCCCACATTTTCAGCCCGTCTTTACCATTTTTGATTTAGTGTTGATATATCATGGTGTGATGTTGTTTATGTTTGATGCATTTATGACGTGTCAACTATTTCGATTATGGATAAACATCTATTTGAATGCAATTTTCGGACAAAAATATTGTTTCCCCAATGCATTGTCACCAAATGAACCAGATGCCGCTGCTGTGTAGAATTTCAAGTTTTTGGTGGTGGTGGTTCCAAATCATGTCTTGTATGCTAACCCAAAAGTATTGGGTTTGAAAAATCACAACGCATTTCTTCCACACAATGCCCAAAATTGTTGGAACATGTGATACTTAGCTGGAACACAATCGATAATTTGTTTGAACACCCAGGTTCAAGTACATTTGTTTTTTTTTGGAACACATGGATTTGTCATTTTTGTAATGCACATTTGCATTCAAACGCTGCTGGAACATGGTTCTTGTGCCATGGATTACTGCAATTGCTGGAAGGGTATTTGGCATCTCAAGGACCTGGTTGATGCTTCAGATGCCATGATTTTTTTTCCCCGTCTTGGCAGTGCCACGATCGTGTTTTCTTCAATGGCAGGCTCACAGAAAGAGGCAGGACGCAACACCTCCAGCGGTCGCAGTCCCAAGTGATCCGCGAACCCCTTTTCATGAAAACACATGGAATCTGGAGGTATGTGAAAAAATATACGAAAAATTAGAAACATATGGAAAACACATGGTGGAAAAAAAATGGAAAAAAAAACTGCGGTGAATGGGCCAAAAATCGACCTAAGGCCTTGACCTCGATCGTATCGCAGCGCTTGGCGGGGTTGGACCACCTCAGCGAGGGATTGCGAGGTTGGAATGATGGAGAAACTCGGCCCCAGATCAAGATGATATCAATGATATGAAGGTTTCTTAAAATGTGGGAGACCCAAAAGCATGGGTTTCAATTTTGGATGATGTGGGGGTACTCCATTTTAGGGAACCTGCATATAGTAAGATCGTTCTTAATGATTGAAAAAACCTTCACTACTAGCTGTGAAGGTCAGGTTTTTCAGAGTTTTGTGGATATGAACATTGCAACTCTGAGCATCCCCCAATTTGGCCAAACGCCTTTGTGAAGTTCTCCAAGGAACCGTGGTTGTTTCGCTTGCGTGCCTCAGACTACATGAAAACGCGGCAGAAACTTCGGAGTGGCGATGCTACCTACCGTTGCATCGGCGTGGAGGTCTTGCAGGCACAGATGCCTAGGAATGCATTGGATCTAATCATTTCTTGGATCCATTGAAGGGGGAATAAAATGAAAGGAGGCATGGGATTATACAGTTTTCATAGGCGAACAGCGGCGAACATCTGCATGGGTTTTGTTGAAACTTTTTGTATTTCGTTAGCCTAATATATATATATATATGTAATTTGTGTTCTGCGGCTGGGAGTTGCTGGAATGTCTTTGGAATTTGGAAAAGACCATGCCTCGAGTGATGCAACGTATCTGCCTTGCGGCTTTTTGTTTTGGACGTAGCACAATGGCCACGGCGCTGTGACCATCGCAAATTATAGTCGTGTGTCCAACTTGCAAGTCGTTGCTAAGCTTTCTCACATGCTGTGCTCAACTTCTTTCTTCATGACATGGCGGTACTGCAAAGTAATGCAGGTCTTCCTTAGATGGTGGAAATTTTGGAGCTCTGCCCTGTCTTGCTCATTTCCAGCTCTAGGCACCATTTCAACTTTACAGCTGCCTCGAAGGCAGCCCACGGCCATTGGTTCGGTTGCGTTTGGGAATTGATGTTTTTCTCGAGGGTGTCTCGATGTTCAGATTCAGTTGCCGCCTCTTGACTTGAAAACTTGGGCATACTGGACACATCTGGACACGGTGCATTCCGACATTATTCAATTATTGAGCGATTAAAAGTGCAGCAATTATGGTGGAAGCCAAGTCTGGAAATGCAATCAGACAATCGCAGCGGCAAAGACTCCAAACTTTCCCAGCGATGTGTTGAGGGTCCACCCGCAGGCCTGTACCCGCAGACAAGTACATCCTCAGCACTTCCCAAGGCGGGAAGCTGCAGAGTGAGCAATGCGACTAAAAGGAAGTAAGGCTGGCAATGATCCTTGAAATGATGAGCATTCAAAAAAGAACAGAAACAATTTTTGCCTTGTTGTATCTTGTTGTGTTAAGTTCGTTGTGAAAAGTGGTTTCGCACAGGTCATTCTGGTGCATTTTCAATTGCCACTGAAGCCTGGACCAATCTATGGCTCTCATCCTGCAGATGACCCTGGCTGCAGCGTGGTGATTTTTTTCAAATTAAAGGAGCACCTGATTTCCACATGTTTAAACAGCACCGGCCACATGACCTTGATCTCGCCACATTCCAACATTTCAATATTCCAACAGGTCCAACAGCACGGCTTCAGGAGCCTGTGCTGGATTCCCCAGCTCTGGGGCTCCTTCAAAGATTTCTGGAGGCGGAAGAGACTGCTTCATGTGAAACCCAGCGTTCAGTGGATGCGTTTCACGCTGAGTTTGCTCCTTTCAACCACTGCGCTGAACTCTCTCCTGGTGCGTGTTTTGAGGTCTCCCCTTTCTTCCGCATTCCCTCTCTTTCTCCTCTTCAACTCCTGTTGTGATTGTTGTTGTTATGATTCAATACTGTACTTAAAGAATAATAGCAGCGAGGCCAGTCATCGCTACCATGCATAGCCTTTATGTTTTTTTTGTCGGCAATCAGGGGTCTATCCTGATGTCAATCTGCATAGTGATATTCCTGTCTGCGCTTCAGCCGAAGCCAAGAAAGTATTCAGTATTCCCTCCTCCTGTCAACTCATCTCTGAACAAATATATAAATACTTTCTTCATTTTTCCGCAAAGCTTCTCAATTCAAATCCATTGGTGGGTGTCAAGTGGGTGTCATGAAAACCAACTTTTTTGACGTCTTTTGATGACCTGCACCCCAGCTGATTCCCCGTCAGGCGGATCATCCGAAAACGGAGGGCTTTGCAGTCAGTGGCTGCTTGAAGGTTGTTGGTCTCTTGGAGACTTGGGCAGATCGTGGCAGATCTAGTCTTTGAACATGGCTTGTGAATGCTATCGCGTTGTCTGAAAGTTTTGGATCCCGAAGTCAAGCCACTTGATCTGGGAGAGTTGTGTGGACAAAGTTGAGTTTGGATGTATGGATCCGGGCTTGCAGGTCTGAGTAAGTGCTTCTACCTGCGCGCAGATTAAGGTTCGAACAATGTTCGAACTATATAGAATACATATGCAGGAACAGTTCAGGATATTTGCTTTAAACAAGCTTTCCTGGCAGATTGCAAGACATCAGCGACTTGAAGAAACACAAGAATGGATCAGTAGGTTTTTGTAATGAAAATGGTGACCTGGTGACAGCCTGGTGTGTGAAATTTCTGAGGAAAATCTTGATGAGCTGGATATTCCTGCTGCTGCAAGGTAGGGCCTGGTAGGGATCCGTTTGGATTCGTAGGATTCTAGGATTCACCTGATTCACCAAACGTGCAGTTGGGCCAGCAAAATGGTGGATCTATGGATCCGGTAAATGCTTATACCGCCATAGCTGCTATGATTTTCCTAAGGACATCTACCATACGTATATAAATGTATTTACCTAAAGTATTTATAAAGTTTTTTTAATGTACTTGCCGCCTATGTTCATTGTATATGATATATATTGATATATGTGTATGTGAATGTATGTGTGCGTACTTGTCTTCTCACCATCTCAACATGATGAAAATGAAGTACTTGGATAGCCCTGGGTCTGGCAAGTTGATTTGCTGAGATAGTTCGAAGGGAAATGAGCTTTGGTTTCCTGGAATGCCTCCCATGCACAGACAGCCATCAACAGCAATTATCTTCACGCCTCCCGAATATCGTGGTTGTTTCGTTAGATCCAAGTTAGGTCCTGCAGACCAAATAGTGAACTGGACCTCTATATTGAAGTCCGAAGTTTGCTTTGGTCCGTGAGAGGATTTGCCGCGTAAACGTCATGACGAACAGCTAGCCTCAGCCCCTCAGTCAGGCCGGTTGTGCGAAAGTTCAATGGCAAACCGGTGCAGTCCTCAGTGCATTGAACTGGATTTGACATGGTTCCAGGTGTAGCAGACACTTGAGCCGGTGCCCACAAGATTCCCATTGTCAACCTGGGCCATGTCGTGCCGATGACTGAGTGCCTGTGAAACAGCGAGGTTTTGATTGAGAAGGAGAGTCGGCACTTGCGATTCGGCGACGCTCTGGAGATTTTGGTTGATGTGCGGGGCTTCAATCCGCTGGCCCGACAACTGCTGTGCAGGTGAGGCGAGAATTGAGGGACAAGATACTTTTAGTTCTTCAAGCTGAGAGAAAATTTGCAGTGAAGAGTTGCAGTGTTGCACTTGTGAGGCTGCGAGGTCAATTGCCCAAATCCGTCATGCAACTGGGTATTTTGGTGCAAGGCAACCTTGCTGTTCGACTTTCCCATATTCCACTCCAAAGTTGGCTTTGTGGGAAAATGCTCAGTTGAAGGCTGCTATGAATTGATAGTCATTGGAGCCGCCTGGCAGGTGTTGAAGACTTTGAGCTGCCAGAGGGATTTCTGGGTGTAGCGCGACTAGATGGCCTGGACTGAAGGGATCAGAATGAGAATGTGCGCTCGAGATCATTTGACTTGACTAGTGTGCACCTTTTTTCTTGATGTCTTTGATGTCTTGCCAAGATCATCCAAGATCCATGTTTTTTGTTGTTGTTTGACCTTGGAGTCCTTTTGGCCCTTGCAACTCCAAGCAGGTTCTGCTGCGACGTTGCAGGACTTGTTGAATGGCCGGTCCGTGGAGATACCCAGCTCGCCACGAAGTCCCATGACAGGAGATGTTGCCAGATGTCTGCAGAATGACCAGGAACTCACCATTTCCTCACCATGCGCCGTTCCTCAGGACCACAAGAGACTACAAGAGCTACCTTGCCCTGCACAGGCGCGCGGCCATTGTGCTGTGCAGGTTGTCTTATGTGCCAAGCAAAAGCTCGAAATCCGTGAGTGTGAGGTAGTCTCCTACCTTTTCTCAATCCTTGGGCTAAATTGCAGTCTACCAAGTCTACTATCGTGCTCAGCTGGGAAAGTAGACTCTGGTAGTGACTTGATGCCTCAAGAGGTGCGGCCCGCATTTTCTTGAGGGCCCCTTTTCGTTTTCATGGCTTTTATCTTCACAAGCCACATTCCCAATCCAAGAAACCTGATCTCAGGTTGGTGCTGTCGTCGCAAGAAGGTGTGGCCATCGAATCCCTGATGAATGGATGGTGAAACACAATATTGCAAGTTCTGCCATTGCTGCTTCAAAATCAGAAACACACGCAAATTTGCCGAGGCTGCTAACTACTAGTATGGTAGATAGTTGGCAGAGGTAGACTCTTTGCTTTATGTATTGATGTGGAGAAACTCCAAAAGATGCAGCCCAAAGGCCCACAGTTGTTTGGACATGTTTGCAACTTCACTTTGGCTTTGGTTCACATGTCGCATATACACTTTGATTTGATTTGCGGATTGTCGCTTTGATTGTTGCTTGCCAAGTAGCCCTGTGCCATCCTGTTTGTGAGGACTATAGGTGATCTGATGTGATATCTGATATCGACCCTGGAAACCAAGTAGCACCTTGGTGCCACAACTACAACTTGGCAGTCCGTCTGTCAGGGGACATGAGTTGTGGCTTCTCGTGAGCTGCGCGGGAGTGCAGAAGCAGGAGTCAAACTTCGCGGCAAGGCTTCTTGTTCTGAATGAAGATTTAACTATGTCAAAGCTGTAGATGTGGAGGATGTAATCACCTTGTTAAGAAGACTGCGGCCCTTTGATTGTTGTGACAGGGTGCTGACTTGGTAGATTGGAGACAGCTGCGACATTGAAGCAACGCAATAAAGGACCTGTGAATTTGGACAGCCACGTTTGTTTCAGATCCATGATTGCCTTGCAAGCATCAGACATATTTCAAGTACCTGTACCTGTACCGAAACGCATCTCCGTCTTCCTGAATTCTTCTTCATATCCCTTGATGGCAGCACAGCTGTGAAAGAAAATGGCCCAAGTGAGAGATCAAAAGCGAGGAGATCCAATGTCATGAAGACCAGGAGATTGCCCTGCGACACTTGAACTCTGAGGACAGAGTTGTCTTGTCCGGATTTGACATGGTAAACTTCAAATCAGGAAAGCGGATCATGCGAGTGCAGACAGATCATTTCTCCCCAGCAACCCAGTCCAACATTTTTCAACTTAGAAACTTCATTTTTCTATACTTTTCTTCTAAATGTATCGACCATTCATTTTTCTCTTAACTTCCCAGGATTCAGCCGGTCATGGAAGAGGAAACCAGCGACTCGGTTGACTCGGTGTCAGGCTGAGCCGGCCTTGCGGCTGCATATCCCCAGTTGCCACTGAAACATGCTGAAGCATGCTGGCGCAGGGGAGATGAAGCAGTTGAATTGAAAGTGCGAATGATGTGTCCCATCTTCCTCAAATTCGAAAAAAGTACCGAGCGCCCCTCCATATTTCATTTCTTGTGATTCGCAGTCAGTGCACATGTGCAAAGATACATGAACCAACATCAGCGGCAATGCAAGCATAGCGTTGGCTCCCAGTAACTCTCCCACAAGTGCAGAGCCTTCCCTATCTAACACTTGAACAGATGGCAGAATCCCGTTTTCCAGACTTCACCAATGGGGAGATGAAGTTGGGTGACGAGAGGCAAGCTTTCGCAAAGTCGGTGGTGGATGCTGCCATTCAGGTCTATGTGAACGGCAGGATGAATGATTGGTTCGCGGTGAGAATGACTGGTTTGGTTCCAGATTCGGACCTCTCATGGGCGGACAAGCACCGCTTGATCGCAGAGCTCTTGTACCTCTCCGGGATGAGATTGGGCGGACTCCCCATCAAAGCGATGCAATTCGTCGGTCTGAGAGACGACTTGCCCGATGGCTACCAGCAGTGGTTCAGCAAGGCACAGGAAGACAACAAACTTCGAAGTCCAGCTGACCACGTGCAGAAGACCCTGGCAGTTTTTGGACCAAGCCTTACATGGAATTATGAGCCCTTGAAGTCTGCTTCGATTGCACAAGTACACCTAGATGTGACCTGGAATGGGCAAGCTGCTGTTGCCAAGGTGCAGCATCCACACGTCAGGGATCAGTACTTGGCAGATTTGGACACCATGAAGTACCTGGGCGAATACGTGAACCACCACGATGAGGCCAAAGGAGCTGCTGTGATGCTTGGAGCGTTGGCGGAGAAGTTGAGGCCTACGGTTGTTGCAGAGACAGACTTCACCAAAGAAGCGGAGAACCAACGCAGGCTGCGAGAGTCTTTGCGGGGCATTGCGACTGTCGCACAGGCCGGTTGTTTTCAGGGCTTGCTACAGATGGTGTTTCGCAACAAGTAGTTCACGGCTGTGCGGGGCAGAAGTTTCGATTGTAAATCAGCACCCATAGGAGATGGGAGTTCCTATAGGCATGGCACAGGCGTTCACTCAACTCACCACCGTGTGGTTGAGCACCTGGTTTATTGACTCACTGACTCGGACTTGTTGATTGAAATGCATGATTGAATGGCTGACTTCACTGAAAGAATATATGAGTGAAGGCTGACGATTCGAGATAAAACTTCTCTGAGCCCGATCTTCCCTGAAGCAAGTCTTCTCTGAGCCAACTCTTCTCTGCGCCACCCCTTCGCTCAGTCAACCTTTCTTTGAGCTGCCTCTTCTTTTAGCAATTTCTTCTGCCCGCTATCTCTTATTCTACGCTTTACTTCTTCCGTGGGCCCACTTGTTCTGTGAGCTACCTCTTTCCTGGCCCTGCTCTTGTCTGCGCTCCTTCTTTCCCGAGCCAGCTTTGACTACCCTGTGCCCAAAAGGCAAAAACATGTCCCAAACAAATCTTCTGCGCAAACAGTCCGGTGCTTTTCCAAAAAGAATGAGCGTCGCTTCACATCTAAAACTTCTCCATGGACGCAGCATTTCTTGTGCGTTCTGCAAATGCCAGTTGCAAACCCACGAAGCACAGACGCAGCGAGAAATCGTCGGGGTTGTGCAGCGCAGCAGTTCCAACGCATATCGCAATACCTTTCACAATCCGCGTAGAAGGGACGTGCCAGCCAATCAACGCCTTTTCGCATCACAAATCGCATGCACGCAACTCCGCCGCTAGTCTTGGAGTGTTTTTTTGTCTGTCTTGAAATATGGTCTTTTGGGAAGTCGAGCTCTTGCCACTTGCTACAGTCTCGTCCACTTTTGCCAACCTCATCTCATCGGGGTGAGAACTAAGTTGGGCTCGCGGAAGTAAAGCCCACGTCTGCGGAGCTTGCGGAAGGGTTCGCGGAAGAGTCGACTCATCATCTGATTGTGGAAGCGCCGCGCAAGACGAAATAAAGACGAAATACTGTCCAGTTACAAAATATTCGTTTTCCAGTCTGAGGTTTCAACATCGAACTCATCAGCTTCCTTTGGCGGAAGCTTCACGGAAGAGATCGAAGAGAGATCAAGCGAGCCACCATTCTCGGAAACTAAAGCTGTCGTCCCTTTCTTGGCGACCGCTTGAGCCAGGAGACCTCCCAAAATATAGTGCTTCGCGAGTTTTTTTCGCTTCGCCCAGCAACTGGTGCGCACACACACACAGAAACCACTTCACACCTTCCGCTGATGCTTCCACTACCTCCTATGTTAGCTTCCCAACTGGTGATGCTTCAGCTGACAGCTACTCATTGACATTATTTGTCGGTAACGAAGTTTCTCAGCTGAACTTGATTTGAGAAACGGCTTCGGTACTTCAAGTAGCTTTGTTCAAGGGCTGTCCCTTTCCCAACTTTGTTGCCTTCGATGGAAGACTGTCATGTTTCCCTTGGGTGGGTGCCAGCTTTCTGATGGGCAATTGAGAGACTTCTGTCAGGTCTTCGCAGCAACTACGACTGCATTGGTGATGGAACGTGTGAATGGCATGACAGCAGCTCAGGTCATCCAGGCATGGAAGGATGGTGAGAAGCTGGATCATTTTGGTCCTCGTCAACGGCGCAATTTGTACAGCATCTATGCCCGGATGGTGAGTGGTGGGCTGTTTCAGGCCGATCCCCACCCTGGCAACATCATGTCTCCCAATGAAGGAGCAGACGCAATCGGCCTATTGGATTTTGGCCAGTGCTGTGAAGTCACTCCCCAGCAGAGGATTCTGTTCCATGAATTTGCCGTCGGAGCCCCTACTTCCGAGTTTGAGGCCAACAACCAAGAGCGCAACTTGGAATGGTTGAATCGTCTTGGGATCAAGGTTCGCACCGCAAAACAAGCGCAGGCTACTGCGAACTTGCTTTTCTTTGGACAGAAGAGCCCAATGTTCCCAGACACCAAAGCTATTGACCCGGAGCTCACACCGTTGCTGCTCCCGGTCTTGTATCTGAGCCGCTTTGAAAACAAAGTGGTGGAACTGCGCAAAGCTGTTGGTTTTGAGGACGAAGCCAACTCTTTTGCAGTCCTGATGGCCTTCCGCAACCAGATTGCATCCAATTGACACCCAGATATGACATCCGATTGCAGCCATCCGATTGCAGCTGATGGGCGGTCAATAAGTCAGAGACTCGGCTGTCATTTTCTGGCCTGAAGCAGGTCGGTTGGTGGCAAGCCACAATGGCATGCGATTGGCCATAGGAAGAAAACAGTTTGTGAAGAATTTCGTTGATTTTGGTTGTTCTGAGCCCAATGCAGTTCTTCATCTCCATGAGATCTTCGCTTTGCAATGACATTGGACCTTCTGTACTGGCTGTAGCCTTTCATTTCGGCTTCAGACGACACAGTGCGGACTGTTGGTGAGTCTTGGGCTTAGAAATGTCAATGAGTGGCAGTGTAGAATAAATCGGAGCTGATTGGGAACCAAGGAACATGGAGGGACAAGTGACTGCAGAAACACTTTTTCCAATGGCAGCAGTGAGGCGATGATTTCTTGCTGGTTGTGTGTTTGTGTGTTTCAATTCGACTATGGACAACCCGCATGACGTGCACCTACTTGTGTCTTGCGCGAATTGCTATGTAGCTCTCCTGAATGTTTGTGGAGTTCGCAGTTAGCTTTGTTGACCTGATCAAGTTGCGCACCTTGGACTGAAGTGTTTGTGTATAATGAGTTGCCAGCGAGGGATGGCGGCTGGAGACGTTCCAAAATCTGGCCTAGGCTAAAACTTGTCGAACTGTTTGGCAATGGTGTTGGAACAAAACGAGGTTAAATGTTGATTTGTCAAAGGGAAAGAAATATTGAAAACAGACATTTATTGAGTTTGTTTTTGGGTCGATTTGAGTATTGCAAGACTCTGCAAGATGCGAATCAAACCGGCAGCGCAAGGGAACCAAAAGCCATGAAAAACTAATCACAAACCCACATCCCCCTACCCCACTAGAATCATAGTCCAAGTCTTGTATGCATCCTTCAGTATGGAGCTGCATGCAAAACAAGCAGCGGCAGCGCATGCATGCACACACACACAATGCAACCTGTGTGTCTTTGTGAGTTTACATTGCAGAACTGAGCAGCGGAAGCAACGAAACTTGGAGTATGAGTAAGGTTGTGAGGTGACCCTTGTAGTTGATCGCCAGGTACGACAAAGTGATAGCAGTGAGGGCGCTGGCGGCACGACTGCCGTCTGGGATCCAATCCATGAGTGACATGCTGCTGCCTCAGCCAAGCACGTTGCGAAGATTGGTGTTTGTGCGAGAATGTGCGAGTGTGAAGCAGTTTCCTGAAGATACTGTGTGTGCAACAAGGTGGATGAAACTGGAGGATAAGGAAGACTTCACCAGCGAAATACCTGCCTCACGTTGGGATGTTGCTTTCTATGTTTGCACGAATGACGAAGTCCCAGGCAAAGTATACATCTCGCGAGGCGGTTTTGTCCCGGACGATGTCCTTTATGGTTTCGAGGCGCAGTATTTCCGGATGAATCCCAACGAAGCCCGAGCCATGGATCCCCAGTGCCGCATGATGCTGGAGCTTGCTGCTGAGACGGCAGAACCGTGTGGCTACTCAAAATCGAAAGAATCAACCTCCTACCAGGAGAAACATGATGTTTCATGCATCATGGGACAGACTTCCAGCGAGTATTTGTCAGCCTCTACACTGCATGCAAACCAAAGGCAGACAGGAAGATTCACCAACACGGGAACAAATACGTGCATGTTGTCCAACCGGATTTCTTACACGTTCAACTTCAAGGGGGCATCTTTTACCGTTGACACGGCCTGTTCTTCAGCCTTGTATGCCTTCATCATGTCTGTGCAACAAATACAGCATGGACGTGCGGGTGCACTTGCTGGGGGCGCCAATGCACTCCTTCTGCCAACAACTTTCATTGGTTTTTGCGCAGCCGGGATGCTGAGCCCGGATGGAAGATGCAAAAGCTTTGACAACAATGCAGACGGCTATGCACGCAGTGAAGGTGCCGGTGGTGTTTTTTTGACGCCGGTGGATTCCATCGGTTTGGATTTTGAATGGGCTCGAGTAAGAGGATCCGGGTTCCAAAGTCGTACAGTTTGATTTTGCAAGTGTATTGTGCCTAAAAACGGGCCACTTCATTGTTGTTCCAAGCTGGATCATTTTTGTTGGATTTCTTTTTGCAGGATCTGGCGTGATGGAAAACGATGGAAGAACCGATGGTGTGGCAGTGCCTTCAGGCGACAGCCAGAAGGCTATGTTTGCCAAAGCTATGGAAGATGCCGGTGTCACGGGCAACGACGTGGGATATGTGCCCCAGGGACAAAACTTGGAGACAAGGTTGAGAGCGAGGCGTGGGGCCGGTGTCTGAAGATGGGAGCTTCTCAAAGCGTTCCGATTGGGTCAGTGAAATCTTACATGGGCCACTTGGAAGGACAGAGTTGAACCTGCCGTGCCTGTTGATTTGAAACCTTCCAGCACCATTGTTGACTGGGGCTGCACTTAAGAGGCAACATGTTCTTCAGTTGAGATTCTTCGTTTTATTTTTACTAGAACCCTCCTGACTCCTGGATCTGCCAAAAAAAGTTGGAAAGCAATCAGCGCAACTTGCGCAGCCTGAAACTTGAGGAGCCAGTGGGATTGCTGGTATCATGAACCTGGTCCTTATGATGCGACATAGCAAATTGGTGCAGCTTTGCCCAAGTGCATTCAAGCAACGCCGGACCGACGTGGATTGGGACGCGCTTGGCGCCTTGGACCCAGTTGTTCCCCCGTTTTTTGGGGTGAAAGCTGCCATATGTGCCATGATCAAAATATGTTTTTTCTGACAGCCGCAAATAATGGGGGCTAATATACTCATTGTAACGAATCCTGAATCCCCAATGAGGGTGGGATAACCATATACCATCATATACCCCATCTACCATGTTTTTACCATAGCAAATATTTTGCACCCCATTTCTCCGCGGTGGCCCTTTCTACAAATTTTACAAGGGATTTGGTGCAAGCATCATTACATTTTTCAAAGTTCGCGCTGTAGGCATATCTCCTTTGGCAGAGGATGGGCAGTGGAGGGAGCACGTGGGCTTCGTAAGCTCCTTTGGATTCGGAGGTGCCAGCGCTGTTTGTGGCTTTCAGCAAGCTGAAACTGGACCGCTTAGTCTTGTGTTTAGGATGTTTGGGGTGAGATTCCACATCCCAACATAGTAGATGTCCATCAATGTTCATCTCAAAATATGGTATGAAAATTTTCGAGCCCCCGCATAGAAACTCCAAAAGTTCCAAAAATCGTTGGATTGGGATTGTGTTTAAGGCATGCACAATCCACGCATTTAGGACACGTGTGACACTACACGCACTGAGCAACCCAATCCTCATTTGACGGTGGCAAAGCGTGGCCCCATTGTTTTCGTCTTCAGTGGAATGGGGACGCAAAAGCCTGGGATGCTTCAGAACATGCCACCAGAGGCATTAACAGAGCTGAGCAAGATCAAACTTCAGTTGCAGATGTTGGGCTTTGACTTGGATAAAAACGTATTGCCAGAGGGTCCAGAGGGTGAAGACACCCAAATCTCCCAAGTTCTGATCTTTGCTCATCAAGTTTGCCTTGCCAGATGGTTCATCGAGAAGGGCGTTAAACCAGATATTTGCATCGGCCACAGCCTGGGTGAAGTTGCCGCATTTCACATTGCAGGACGGATATCCTTGGAGGATGCAGTTCGCATCATTTTTTTCCGTGCCAAGCATCTGCAGCAGACGGGGCCAGGACGCATGATGGCCGTGAAATCCGATGAGGCAAGTGTCAAGAATGTCATCCAGGAAGTGCATGGCAGCATAGACATCGCTGCGTACAATTCTCCCTCCGACTTTGCCGTGACTGGAACTGAGGAGGAGATGAGAGACCTCAAAGACAAGATGGACCAGAAGAAGATGGACTCAGTGGAGCTATATAACGTCAAGAAAGCGTTTCATTCCAAGCACGTGCAGGATGTGCCTGGGCTGAGCTGGCCAAGCTTTAGGTGGCTCTACCAAAATCACAAATTCCGGGCTGGTTGTTAGCAAGATCCATTCAGCTGTAGCAAAAGACAATAAAAACATATAAAAATTTGGTCGGGGTTAATAACATGATTCCCGGAAGCTAAGGCAGTTGCACCTTTGGTCCGGGACATCAGGTCCTTCAAAGCATGCTGGGATCTCCATCGAAGAGAACTGGTATCCACGGTGACTGGCAAACACGTTGCAGAAGATGAGCGCATGACGGTTTCTGGGATCCAAATTTGAAGTTGGGCACAGAGTCGCTAACCCCCTGTATGTAGTGCATTCTGTTGGCAAAGCCTTGTGGTTTTGTTGGATTTTTTCACAGAGCTGTCCCATGACACTGAATGAAATTGCAGGGACGATGGTGAACAGGCATTCCAGTTTAAGAGGAACGCGATTCGGTCCTCAATGCATCAAGAACAGGAGATCACTGATTTCATTCAAAATCAACGTGTCAAGAGTAGAAATTGCAAGAATTTGCAAGACATCGGTAAAACATGAACAAATCCTTCCTGTGGACCATGTGGAACCACGGTTGTGTGGGCCGTCGAGGCAGCCTACTGGGGTGACAATCTCCGAAAGCCGGTTCTTTTCTCCGAAGGCATCGAGGCTATCTTACAGCAACACCCAAACAGCAACTTCATTGAGCCTTGGCTTTACAGGTTTTGGAAGCTGGTGTGGGGTAATTCACACTCTTATAATAAGAGTGTTGACTCTTATTTATGCTGGAGTCCATGGAGAGTAGTCTTTTTTGGAACATACCTAGACTTTTGTCGACGACCTCTACTCAGTCGACAGAAATTCAGAATGAGGCCATCCAACTCTCCCATAATCTCCCAGTCCTCGTTGCGCCTCCTGGTCCTCCTTTGGGCTTTCTTCCCGAGGCCTTGTCTCCTTTGTCTCCCAGCTTGTCTTCCTTCTTGTTTCCTTTTGTTGGATGGTGTGTCCACCCTCCATTCCCTTGTCTCCCTTGTCTCCCAGCTTGTCTTCCTTTTTGCTTCCCTTTGTTCGATGGCGCGTCGCCTTCCCAAGGCTTTGTGACCCTTGTCTCCCAGCTTGTATCCTAGCTTGTCTCCCTTCTTGTTGGATGGTGCGTCCGCCTTCCCGAGGTGTTGTCTCCCCTCGTCTCCCAGCTAGTCTCTCATCTTGTCTCCCAGCTTGTCTTCCTTATTTTGTTTCCCTTTGTTGGATGGTGTGTCCGCCTTCTCAAGGCCTTGTCTCCCAGCTTGTCTCCCAGCTCGTCTTCCTTCTTGTTTCCCTTTGTTGGATGGTGTGTCCGCCTTCCCGAGGGTCTTCTCTCCCTTTGTCTCCCATTGTGCCCCTTCTTGTTTCCCTTTGTTGGATGGTGTGCCCGCCTTCGGGACGCTTTTTCACCCTTGTCTCCCAGCTTTTCTTCCTTGCTTCCCTTTGTTGGATGGTGTGTCTGTCTTCCCGAGGCCTTGTCTCCCAGCTTGTCTGCCAGCTTGTCTCCCAGTTGTTTCCCAGCTTGTCTTCCTTCTTGTTTCCTTTGTTGGATGGTGTGTTCGCCTTCCCGAGGCCTTGGCCCCCTTGTCGCCCAGCTTGTTTCCCAGGTTGTCTCCCAGTGGTCTCCCAGCTTGTCTTCCAGCTTGTCTCGCAGCTTGTCCCCCAGCTTATCTCCAAGCTTGTCTCGCAGCTTGTCTCCTAGCTTGTCTTCCAGCAATTCTCCCAGCTTGTTTCCCATCTTGTCGTCCAGTTTGTCTCCCAACTCGTCTTCCATCTTGATCTTCTTGTTTCCCTTGGTTGGATGGTGTGTTCGTCTTCCCGAGGCTTTGTCTCCCTTCTTAGCTTGTCTTCCTTCTTGTTTCCCTTTGTTGGATGATGTGTCCTCTTTCCCGAAGCCTTGTGTCACTTGTCTCCCAGCTTGTCTTCCTTCTTGTTTCCCTTTGTTTCTCGATACCCAGTGTTGCGACAAAGCTAGCGAAGCAGAAAAAAACTAGACGACGGATGGCCCGAGAGCGTAGAGGAGCAGGGTCTTCTCTTGTTAGTATGGAGACGCAATTTTAGAAACGATATATGAAAGATGTGTTATAGGCAGTCGAGAAGAGGAGTATCAAGACAAAATAGTGAGAAGTGCAAGACAATAGTTTGCATCGCAAACACTTTTACACACAGACGCTTTTACACACGAAAGCTTTTACACACAGAAGCTTTTACACACAGAAGCTTTTACACAGACGCTTTTACACACAAAGCTTTTACCCACAGAAGCTTTTACATACAGAAGCTTTTACATACAGAAGCTTTTACACACAGACGCTTCCACACAGACACTTTTACACACAGACACGTTTACACACAGACACTTTTACACACAGACCCTTTTACACACAGGAGCTGCTTTTACACACAAACGCTTGTACACACAGAAGCTTTTACACATAGACGCTTTTACACACAGGCACTTTTACACACAAACACTTTTACACACAAACACTTTTACACACAGACGCTTTTACACGCAGACGCTTTTACGCACAGAAGCTTCTACACACAAACGCTTTTACACACAGACGGTTTTACATACAAACACTTTTACGCAGAAACACTTTTACACACAGACGCTTTTACACACAGACGGTTTTACACACAAGCGCTTTTACACACAATCACTTGTACACACAGACGCTTTTACACAGAGGCCGTCCCATGTACTCACAGCGAAGTCATCGTTGTCGTGGCCACCTCAGCAATCCGACGGGGTGGTGTGGCGAAGTCCTATTTCCATGTGACTCGAAACCAGCCGCCCACACCATAGGCCGCCGCCCACATCTCCACGCTCCTGCCACCGCATAGGCTGCGAAATTGTGGTGCACGCGGGCTCTTGAAGTAACATAACTCATGAAACGAACTTTGCCAACAGACACAAAACTCATCAATAACCAAGTATCTGCACAACAATCTATACTTATATCCCTATAACACTCCGTGCCAAGACCACAAGAAACGTTAGGTGCCAGATTCCTGTGCAGAGAACTGTCAGAGCATCCCCCAAACACCTTCTGTGATGCTACCCAAAGAAACTGTTAACAACTGAAACGAAGTCCTCACCAAACCAAACATCTTCCCCCAACAGACTCGCCTGCGGGGCAAAGTGCTCCACGAGGGCCTTGCGTAGCTCACCCACTGGCACCATCGAACCGCAAGGTCTCCGTGTGGACGATGCCACAGCTGCTGCCATTTTGCGCAGCTCGGTCTGGTTCATGGTCTCCACCTTCTTTTGCAACCATGCAATTCCCTTGCCGCTGGCGTCCATACGAATCTCTTCCATCTTCGACGACAGGTCATCACCTACATCGCCACGATCCTGCCGTCGCATAGGCTGCGAATCCGTGGTGCGCGCGGGCACTTTATAACAAACACGTGGTTTCACACGATCCGCTTCTACATGCTCATGAACCGCACTTGGCCAACTGACACAACACTCATCCATAACCAAGTATCTGCACACAAATCTATACTTATATCTCTACACCACAACACTCCGTGCTAAGACCAGAAGAAATCTGATCAACTCAAGCACACTTATCAAAGAACCACAGCGCAGCGAACTGTCAAAGCATCAACCAAAAATGACTATCCACACAACTGCTGCCACTGAATCCACACTAACACCTTCTGTGATGCTACCCAAAGAAACTGTTAACAACTGAAACGAACTCCTCACCAAACCAAACATCTCCCCCCAACAGACTTGCCTGCGGTGCAAAATGCTCCACGAGGGCCTTGCGCAGCTCAGCCTGTCCCACCTTTGAACCATCTTGTCCACGCGTAGACACACCAGAAGCTGCTGCAACCTTCCGCAAGTCATCCCGCGTCATGCTCGCCATCTTCTCTTGCAGCCACGTGCGTCCTTTGCTGCTGGCGTCCATACGAAGCTCTTCCACCTGTGCCGAAATACCGCCGCCCACATCTCCACGCTCCTGCCGCCGCATAGGTAACCAAGTATCTTAGGCTGCGAAATTGTGGTGCACGCGGGCAGTTCAAGTCACATGTGGTTGCACTAGATCCGCTTCTACATGCTCATGAACCGCACTTTGACAACTGACACGACACTCATCAATAACCAAGTATCTGCACAAAAATCTATACTTATATCATTATATCTCTATAACACTCCGTGCCAAGACCAGAAGAAACGTTAGGTGCCAGATTCCTGTGCAGAGCATTCCCCAAAAACAAGTATCCACACAACTGCTGCCACTGAATCCACACTAACACCTTCTGTGATGCTACCCAAAGAAACTGTTAACAACTGAAACGAACTCCTCACCAAACCAAACATCTCCCCCCAACAGACTCGCCTGCGGTGCAAAATGCTGCACGAGGGCCTTGCGCAGCTCAGCCAGTCCCACCTTTGAACCATCTTGTCCACGCGTAGACACACCAGAAGCTGCTGCAACCTTCTGCAAGTCGTCCCGTGTCATCCTTGCCACCTTCTCTTGCAGCCACGTGCGTCCTTTGCTGCTGGCGTCCATACGAAGCTCTTCCACCTGTGCCGAAATACCGCCGCCCACATCTCCACGCTCCTGCCGCCGCATAGGTAACCAAGTATCTTAGGCTGCGAAATTGTGGTGCACGCGGGCAGTTCAAGTCACATGTGGTTGCACTAGATCCGCTTCTACATGCTCATGAACCGCACTTTGACAACTGACACGACACTCATCAATAACCAAGTATCTGCACAAAAATCTATACTTATATCATTATATCTCTACAACACTCCGTGCCAAAACCAGAAGAAACGTTAGGTGCCAGATTCCTGTGCAGAGCATTCCCCAAAAACAAGTATCCACACAACTGCTGCCACTGAATCCACACTGACACCTTCTGTGATGCTACCCAAAGAAACTGTTAACAACTGAAACGAACTCCTCACCAAACCAAACATCTCCCCCCAACAGACTCGCCTGCGGTGCAAAATGCTCCACGAGGGCCTTGCGCAGCTCAGCCAGTCCCACCTTTGAACCATCTTGTCCACGCGTAGACACACCAGAAGCTGCTGCAACCTTCTGCAAGTCGTCCCGTGTCATCCTTGCCACCTTCTCTTGCAGCCACGTGCGTCCTTTGCTGCTGGCGTCCATACGAAGCTCTTCCACCTGTGCCGAAATACCGCCGCCCACATCTCCACGCTCCTGCCGCCGCATAGGTAACCAAGTATCTTAGGCTGCGAAATTGTGGTGCACGCGGGCAGTTCAAGTCACATGTGGTTGCACTAGATCCGCTTCTACATGCTCATGAACCGCACTTTGACAACTGACACGACACTCATCAATAACCAAGTATCTGCACAAAAATCTATACTTATATCATTATATCTCTACAACACTCCGTGCCAAAACCAGAAGAAACGTTAGGTGCCAGATTCCTGTGCAGAGCATTCCCCAAAAACAAGTATCCACACAACTGCTGCCACTGAATCCACACTGACACCTTCTGTGATGCTACCCAAAGAAACTGTTAACAACTGAAACGAACTCCTCACCAAACCAAACATCTCCCCCCAACAGACTCGCCTGCGGTGCAAAATGCTCCACGAGGGCATTGCGCAGCTCAGCCAGTGCCACCATTGAACCATCTTGTCTACGTGTAGACACATCAGAAGCTGCTGCAACCTTCCGCAGGTCATCCCGCGTCATGCTCGCCATCTTCTCTTGCAGCCACGTGCGTCCTTTGCTGCTGGCGTCCATACGAAGCTCTTCCACCTCTGCCGAAATACTGCCGCCCACATCTCCACGCTCCTGCCACAGCATAGGCTCTGAAATTGTGGTGCACGCGGGCTCTTGAAGTAACATAACATAACTCATGAAACGAACTTTGCCAACAGAGACCAAACTCATCAATAACCAAGTATCTGCACAACAATCTATACTTATATCCCTATTACACTCCGTGCCAAGACCACAAGAAATGTTAGGTGCCAGGTTCCTGTGCAGAGAACTGTCAGAGCATTGCCCCAAACACATTCTGTGATGCTCCCCAAAGAAACTGTTAACAACTGAAACGAACTCCTCACCAAACCAAACATCTCCCCCCAACAGACTCGCCTGCGGGGCAAAATGCTCCACGAGGGCATTGCGCAGCTCAGCCGGTGCCACCATTGAACCATCTTCTCCACGCGTAGAAAAACCAGAAGCTGCTGCAACCTTCCGCAGGACATCCCGCGTCATGCTCGCCATCTTCTCTTGCAGCCACGTGCGTCCTTTGCTGCTGGCGTCCATACGAAGCTCTTCCACCTGTGCCGAAATACCGCCGCCCACATCTCCACGCTCCTGCCGCCGCATAGGTAACCAAGTATCTGCACAAAAATCCATACTTATATCTCTACGCTACAACACTCCGTGCTACAACCAGGAGAAACGTTAACAACTCAAGCAAACTTATCACAGAACCGCAGTGCAGAGAACTGTCAGAGCAACACCGCTTTTACACACAGACGCTTTTACACACAGACGCTTTTACACGCAAAAGTTTACACACAAACAGTTTTACACACAAACACTTTTACACAGAGATGCTTTTACACACAGAAGCTTTTACACACAAACACTTTTACACACAGACACTTTTACACACAGAAGCTTTTACACACAGACGCTATTACACACAGACGCTTTTACACGCAAAAGTTTACACACAAACAGTTTTACACACAAACACTTTTACACAGAGATGCTTTTACACACAGAAGCTTTTACACACAGACGCTATTACACACAGACGCTTTTACACACAGACGCTTTTACACACAGACGCTATTACACACAGACGCTTTTACACGCAAAAGTTTGCACACAAACAGTTTGACACACAAACACTTTTACACAGAGACGCTTTTACACAGAGAAGCTTTTACACACAGACGCTATTACACACAGACGCTTTGACACACAGATACACACAGACGCTTTTACACACATCGCAATTTTACTTCAGTTTTTGGCGATCCAACCTCATTTCGTGCGAAAGGGACGTGCGAAAGGGTTGCTCCGGGACAAGTCAAATCGCCATTTTACCTCAGTTTTTGCCGATCGACCCTCATTTCGTGCGAAAGGGTTGCTCCGGGGCAAGTCAAATCGCAATTTTACCTCAGTTTTTGCCGATCGAACCTCATTTCGTGCGAAAGGGTTGCGCCGGACAAGTTGAAATCACAATTTTACCTCAGTTTTTGGCGATCGAACCTCATTTCGTGCGAAAGGGTTGCGCGGGACAAGTTGAAATCGCAATTTTACCTCAGTTTTTGACGATCGAACCTCATTTCGTGCAAAAGGGTTGCGCCGGACAAGTTGAAATCGCAATTTTACCTCAGTTTTTGACGATCGAACCTCATTTCGTGCGAAAGGGTTGCGTTTCGTGCCGTCTCGTTGGCATTGCCCCTGCTCCCGCCTTCAAGAGAGAAATAGAAAAGAAGGAGAGGGCAAGAGGGCAAGAGGGCAAGAGGAGAAGGTGTGAGATGAGATGTAAAGATGAGAAGATGTGAGAAGATGTGAGAAGATGTGAGAAGATGTGAAGATGTGAAGATGAGAAGATGTGAGAAGATGTGAGAAGATGTGAGAAGATGAGAAGATGTGAGAAGATGTGAGAAGATGTGAGAAGATGTGAGAAGATGTGAGAAGATGTGAGAAGATGTGAGAAGATGTGAGAAGATGTGAGAAGAGGTGAGAAGATGTGAGAAGATGTGAGAAGATGTGAGAAGATGTGAGAAGATGTGAGAAGATGTGAAGATGTGAGAAGATGTGAGAAGATGTGAGAAGATGTGAGAAGATGTGAGAAGATGTGAGAAGATGTGAGAAGATGTGAAGATGAGAAGATGAGGAGAAGATGGGAGGATGAGAAGATGGGAGGATGAGAAGATGTGAAGATGAGAAGATGTGAAGATGAGAAGATGTGAAGATGTGAAGATGTGAAGATGAGAAGATGTGAAGATGAGAGGATGTGAAGATGAGAGGATGTGAAGATGAGAGGATGTGAAGATGAGAAGATGTGAAGATGAGAAGATGTGAAGATGAGAAGATGTGAAGATGAGAGGATGTGAAGATGAGAAGATGTTTTACAGACCCCCACTATTGGAAGAACCCTGCGCTCAGACGCTCTCGGGAAAAAACGTGACGTGGTCGGCACTTATTGCAGACATTATCGCGATTCTTGCCGCTTGTATTTTATGTGTTTGACCTGTTCCTCAAAGCGTTTTTCCACCCACTGTTTGGGGTCTACGGTGGTGTAATTTCCAGCCCGGTTGGTGGTTTCCGGCTCTTTGGATGCCTGTCTTCACTTGCCTCCCATTTCATTTGTCTCCCAGTCTGGCTGGTTCTCCCAATTCATTTGTGGACCAGTGTCTCCCAATTCATGTGTCGCCCAGTCTGGCTGGTGGTGTCCGGCTCTTTGGATGTGGGGGATCATGTAAGCCTTGATTTTAAGAGCGTCAATGATAAAAACAAGCCCGTGGTTTTGGGGCTTCTTGGGGCCATGTTGAGCCTATGTTGGGCCAAGAACGGCGTGTTCTTTTTGAGCCTGGTATTAAGGCCCAAAGGAACACGCCGTTTTTGGGTCATGTCTGGGCCATGTTGGGCCTACGTTGGGTTTATGTTGGTACGTACCTGTAGACTCTCTGAACCTTCATTTTCTCTATATTTTTGTTTTCATTTTGCTAACTCGGGCACAAAATAATTATGGCAATGATTCCGGAACCAGGCTTCTTGGGGAACTCATAATCCTACGTTGCGTGCCTAGTAGTGCCCGGCTCTCCGAATGTCTCTCTTTACTTGTCTCCCTTCATCTGTCTCCCAGCCTTTCTGGTGGTGTCCCGACTCTTTGGATGTCTGTCTTCATTTGTCTCCCAATTCATAGTTTTCTCCCTGTCTGGCTGCTGGTGTCCGGCTCTTTTTATGTCTGTCTTCAACTGTCTCCCTTCATTTGTCTCCCAGTCTGGCTGGTGGTGTCCGGCTCTTCGGATGTCTCTCTTTGCTGCTCTCCCTTCATGTGTCTCTAAGTCTGGAAGGTGTCCGGCTCTCTGGATGTCTGTCTTCGCTTGTCTTTTTTATTTGTCTCCCCGTCTAGCTGGTGGTGTCCGGCTCTTTGGCTGCCTCTCTTTAATTTGCTTTACTTGTTTCCCGTCATTAGGCTTCCTTTCTGGCTGGTGGTGTCCTGCTCTTTGGATGTGTCTCTTCACTTGTCTCCCTTCATTTGCCTCCCACGCTGTCTAGTGGTGTCCGGCTCTCCGGATGTCTTTTTTGTGCTTTCACTATTTCACTTGTCTCACATCGTGTGCCTCCGGGGATGTGTCTCCCAATTTTTCCGTCTCCCATGTTCGCCTTTGTCTGTCTTCCATCATTTGTCTCTCACCTTATGTCCCGTACTTCATCTGTCTCCGGAGTCATTTGTCTCCAATCCTATGCCTGCCTTAGTGGCAGTGTCCTGTTCTAGCTTCATCATTTTTTATTTGTGTTTCATGCTTCTCTCTTTTCTTTACTCCCTTTGTGTCTTCTTGTTGTCCCAAGATAAAATCATGTTCCACCATTTTTTTTGTGTTTTACCACTTGTCTCTCACTTGTCTCTTACCTTGTCTCCCTCTGATTGTCTCAGATACAAATGCCGTGGCAAAATCGAAACCGTGTGGCATGAAAAAAATGCTTGTGATTCATGCTCTTCTCAAATGACATGGATCAAAAACTGCCAGCATCAGGAGCTAGTATAACCAAAAGCATGCATGCAGACACTGCAACGGATATGGAAAACTGTTTGGGGCCTACGAGGGTGTAATTTGTGCTTTCAGCCCTGGATCTTGGATTGGCTTGACTTTCAGTGGGTGATTTACCAAGGAAATCGCAGCAAGTTCTCACTTGTGCCGCTGTATCAAGAAGCTGGGAACAGGGCGATGCCGCAAAGGCTCGGAGCTCTGTCGCCAACTGCCTGGAGGAGAAAAATGGGCACGACCCTGGAAACGAGAGATGTTACGATTGCAGGGTTCGATCATGGAGCAGGTCCTCCGACCTCAAGGACAACAGCATCCTTTGCTGGGAGGAGCGCTGAAACTGTCAGAGGAGTCTGGGAGGAAGTTCTTTGAGAATCAGAACTTTTCCATTGCCGGTGCGTGCTGGATGGCCGACCATAAGATTCAGGGCCAAGTCATTTGCCCTGGCATGGCTTTTGTGGAGGTCTTCCTGGAGTGTGCCCGCCAATGCAAGGCCAGACAGTGCCCGAGGGGTCAATTTTTTGCAGTCTCATGTCCATATGTGCATTGTAAAGCTTGGGTGCAAATATAGTGAGTGGACCAGGAACCTTTCTACTTTTGCTGCATTTTCAACACATCAGGCGCGTGAGCTAGCAGAACTCGAAGTTCGCGATGTTGAATTCAAGAACTTTTTGGACATGACGCTGTCGAAGCTGCTTGAACTGCATGGTTCTTGTGTCAAGTGTTGTTTGGATGGTGCGAATGTCCAGCTAATCTGTATGGCTACCACTTCTCGCCAGTCTGCCGTAAGTACTAAGGGCGCAGACGGTCTTCCATCTGGGCTCTTCCGAACACATGACGTTCTCCAGCCTGCGGGGAGAAGAATGGAAGCTGCACGCCAAAGCCAAGATTGTCCAATGCGCAGAGCTTCTTGATCAACACATGGAGCCTGTCATCCCAGGTACAGATTCTGGATGGACATGCATGCCATCAGAAGAACTATATCGAAAGCTGGCAGACTTTTTCCATCTTGGCCCAGCATTTCAAGGTATCAAGCACCTGTGGCACCGCACTGAAGGCAAGAAAATTGAGGTAGTCACTGAGATTTCTCTGCAAGAAGGAGAAAGATGCAGGATTCAGCAGTACAACATTCACCCAGCACTTTTGGACAGCATTATACAGAGCGGTTTGGGTTTCATTCTTGTGAGCGGTGGAGATTTCAGAGGTGTGCCGTATCATCTCGGTGCCTGTCGTCTTCTACGTTGTGGCAAGGACCTTCCGTGTGAACTTCTCGCCAGGTGTGATGGCACAAGGGAAGAGAACAGATTCCGCCTTGATGTGGAGGCATTTGACCATTGCGGCCAACTGGTTTGCTCCATCCAGGGTTTGTTCTTCAAAAACATGGATTTGACTCCCAGCCCATTGGTAGGATTGCGCTTGAAGTGGGAGGTGCTGCAGGATCAGTTTTCCAGCGTTGATTCAGGCCATGGTATGGAGAAGTGGCGCTTCTTTTGGATGAGGGGTGAAGGGTCTGAGATGTCTGACCTCGAAGAATTCTTTAAGACCCGGACAGCAGCCAAACACAGCTTTTTCCCTGCTGCGGAGCATGACTTGACTGGGGTCGACCACGTTGCCATTGTTGCCAACTTCTTCGACGATGAGCAGGCTGACAACCCTGGCAGTGGGTGTTCTTGGCAATAAAACCACAGCAGCAGTTTCCGGGTTGACATGACAGTGCTCCATTATAGTGAGAATATGTCGGAATAGCGCGCAGTCCTTGTGTTGCGGAGATGTCCATGGGTACTTCCAAAAGCTATAAAGCGACAGCGATGGATTGGCTTTGTTGGATGTCGTTGCGAGTAGTGTGCGTGTAATGAGGCGTCACTGGATTAGGGAGAGACAAGCATTTGCCGCAAAAGTTTTTATCACCATTTTGTGCATTGGCGTCTACACGTGTCTACGTCATTCTGCACAGTTTGCTCTTTTTTCAGCCAATTTGCACGCAGGTGTTCGATCTTTGCCTCATAGTACTCTTGTGGATCTCATGGGAACATTCCTTGGTCGTTTGCGAGATCTCTTCATGGTGGTTTTGAAGATGCCTTTTCGGTTTCTTCTTGAATTCCACCCCTTGTCCCTGCAAAAGTGGTTCCTTGCATGAAATGCCAGTGCGGCTTCTGGATAGCTTACATCATGATTAATTGTGAATATTCTTGTGCTCGCAGTTATAGACGGTTTTGCAAGGTGCATTCTTGTGCTCTACTCTCAGTTCTGATGTGCGCATGTTGAACATGTCTTCACCGGGTGTTTAGCGTGCCTTCACTGAGGTAGTTGCCGTTGCACATGTCTAAATTGTCAGGCGGCAAGACCCACTCCGCCCTGTCCGACCTGCTTTGAGAAAAACGGTCTTGGCATTCTGCCTTCGTCTGTGCTGTATATCATGGGCCTTTCTGCAAGGTTTATTTGGATTAGTTCTTCTTCCGGAAATTGGGCCATTGCATTGGACACAGTTTTGCTGAGGATTTTTTGTTTTTCCAAATATCATCCGTGCCACACAGCAGGCTTCGTTTTCCTCCCTAAATGGTTTGGCTCTGGGACCAGGGATAGCGGGAACATATGTCAAATCTTCGGAATGTTAGTCAAGCAATTCTTTTGCAAAAACAATTGGAATGCTTGCAGGCACAGCCACCGTATGATATAGTAGCGACATTCAAAGCACCGTCACTAGAAATAGGTTTGAAGTATGAACAGGGTGTTGGTGACACAGATGGAGATGTAGCGATGGGAAAAACATCTAAAGACATTACCATGCAAAGCACAAATAAGATATATAGTATTATATAGTCTCATTTGTGAAGAAACGCAAGGTGAGAAAAGCGTGGATACCAGGCGAGCAGGATGGTTTCTTGAAAAGGACACGCAAGAAGGCAAACGCAGACCACCAGGGGACCAGACTATGCACAAAACAATGAAGAAGGCAAACAAAGGAACGGATGCAAGAAAAAGAAGGGTAGTGATTGAAAATTGATGGTACACAAGCCAGGCTTGGTTGTGGACGTAAAAGGATGAGTTTCAAACATCAGAGTAGTGTGCGCCAAAATGAAATGAATAATCGGCAGTTCACAAGCAAGTGCCACTTGGAGCCAGGATAATCTCGCAAGCAAACTCGTGTCTTGTACTTGTCCCTTGATGTCATGATGTCATGAGATAGGAAACAAAACTCCATATTCACTGGCCTTTTTTCTGCTATCTCCATACTCCTGATTTTTCCTGCTTACAGCCACTGCATTGTTCCTTGTAGCAGAGTCTGACTGTTTTCTAAGTCTAAGCTTTTCGACAAACAACTTGGGTCACTCACGTCACTCTAGGAAAAAAACGCAGGTCAACAAAAACACATTTTTGATGGCCTTACAGAAAGAACCCTGTGTGACAACGGGGCGCTTTTTGAAGGGGCATTCAAACAGGTCGGTGGTAGGACCGTGATTGCAGAAGCCAGGAATCCAGGATGAGGAAACGGCTGGCAAATTCATGCAAGGAAACATGGCAGCTGCAAAGAAACCCTCGCGCCCAGATATGTGCACATTCACAAACGCAGGGTCGTATGTCGTATATCTTCATGCATGGTCTAATTTTTAAAATCCCAAACATAAAATCTACATCACTCTCACTCATATAGATAGATACCTCAGGAACCTTTTTTTTTGGAAGGGATGTCTGTAGCTAAAAAAAATATGAAAGTTTGAGAAGCAGGACCAGCAAGAGAGCCGAGGTGACGGGCTGCGTTGCTTTCTGGCCTTTTTTGAAGAAACATAGCAAATAGCTTTTTCCCGAGAGCGTCTGAGCGCAGGGTTCTTCCAATAGTGGGGGTCTGTAAAACATCTTCTCATCTTCACATCTCATCTTCACATCCTCTCATCTTCACATCTCATCTTCACATCCTCTCATCTTCACATCTTTTCATCTTTACATCCTCTCATCTTCACATCCTCTCATCTTCGCATCTGCTCATCTTCACACCTTCCCATCTTCACATCTGCTCATCTTCACACCTTCCCATCTTCACACCTTCCCATCTTCACATCTGCTCATCTTCACACCTTCCCATCTTCACATCTTCTCATCTTCACATCTGCTCATCTTCACATCTGCTCATCTTCACATCTTCTCATCTTCACATCTGCTCATCTTCACATCTGCTCATCTTCACATCTGCTCATCTTCACATCTGCTCATCTTCATCTGCTCATCTTTACACCTGCTCATCTTCACATCTTCTCATCTTCACATCTTCTCATCTTCACACCTTCTCATCTTCACATCTGCTCATCTTCACATCTGCTCATCTTCACATCTTCTCATCTTCACATCTGCTCATCTTCAGATCTTCTCTCACATCTGCTCATCTTCACATCTGCTCATCTTCACATCTGCTCATCTTCACATCTGCTCATCTTCACATCTGTTCATCTTCACATCTGCTCATCTTCACATCTGCTCATCTTCACATCTTCTCATCTTCACATCTGCTCATCTTCACATCTGCTCATCTTCACATCTGCTCATCTTCACATCTTCTTATCTTCACACCTGCTCACCTTCTCTCTCACGCCTTCTTTTTATCTTTCTCTCTTAAGGCCGAGGGTGGTGCCGGCGGCGAGTCACGAAACGTCAACCCTTTCGCACGAAATGAGGGTCGATCGGCAAAAACTGAGGTAAAATTGCGATTTTACGTGTGCTAAAGCAACCCTTTCGCACGAAATGAGTGTCGATCGGCAAAAACTGAGGTAAAATTGCGATTTTACGTGTGCTAAAGCAACCCTTTCGCACGAAATGAGGGTCGATCGGCAAAAACTGAGGTAAAATTGCGATTTGACTTGTCCTGGAGCAACCCTTTCGCACGAAATGAAGGTCGATCGGCAAAAACTGCATGAGGTAAAATTGCGATTTGACTTGCCCCGGAGCAACCCTTTCGCACGAAATGAGGGTCGATCGGCAAAAACTGAGGTAAAATGGCGATTTGACTTGTCCCGGAGCAACCCTTTCGCACGAAAGGAGGGTCGATCGGCAAAAACTGAGGTAAAATTGCGATTTGACTTGTCCCGGAGCAACCCTTTCGCACGAAATGAGGGTCGATCGGCAAAAACTGAGGTAAAATTGCGATTTGACTTGTCCCGGAGCAACCCTTTCGCACGAAAGGAGGGTCGATCGGCAAAAACTGAAGTAAAATTGCGATTTGACTTGTCCCGGAGCAACCCTTTCGCACGAAATGAAGGTCGATCGGCAAAAACTGACGTAAAATTGCGATTTGACTTGCCCCGGAGCAACCCTTTCGCACGAAATGAGGGTCGATCGGCAAAAACTGAGGTAAAATTGCGATTTTTCCTGTGCCGGAGCAACCCTTTCGTCTGTGTGTAAAAGCGTCTGTGTGTAAAAGCGTCTGTGTGTAAAAGCTTCTGTGTGTAAAAGCGTCTCTGTGTGTAAAAGTCTCTGTGTGTAAAAGCGTCTGTGTGTAAAAGTGTCTGTGTGTAAAAGTGTTTGTGTTTGTGTGTCACAGCGTCTGTGTGTAAAAAGCGTCTGTGTGTAAAAAGCGTCTGTGTGTAAAAGCGTCTGTGTGTAAATGTGTTTGTGTGTCAAAGCGTCTGTGTGTAAAAAGCGTCTGTGTGTCAAAAGCGTCTGTGTGTAAAAGTGTCTGTGTGTAAAGGCGTCTGTGTGTAAAAGGGTCTGTGTGTAAAAGTGTCTGTGTGTAAAAGCGTTTGTGTGTAAAAGCGTCTGTGTGTAAAAGTGTTTGTATGTAAAAGCTTCTGTGTGTAAAAACTTCTGTATGTAAAAGCTTCTGTGTGTAAAAGCTTCTGTGGGTAAAAGCTTTGTGTGTAAAAGCGTCAGTGTAAAAGCGTCTGTGTGTAAAAGTGTTTGCGATGCAAACTATTGTCTTGCACTTCTCACTATTTTGTCTTGATACTCCTCTTCTCGACTGCCTATAACACAGCTTTCATATATCGTTTCTAATATTGCATCTCCATACTAACAAGAGAAGACCCTGCTCCTCTACGCTCTCGGGCCATCCGTCGTCTAGTCTGTTTTGGCGCTGGATCTGTCGATCATCTTGTCTTATTTGCGTGTTTCTTCGGTCCTGCAAGTTAACTCACGTCATAGGAGCTGGGTGCAACCACTTGTGAAGCACTATAGGGAACTTGTGTACTTTGTTGTAAGGACACTGATTGACGTATTTTCTCGAATCATACTCTTGGATATGTGTTCCACATCCAAAGTGACAGCATCCTTTTGCATTTGTTTGCTACCGTGTCTCAAGGGGTGTCAGTTGGTGCGCCGAAGGACATGGACAAGCTCTTGGAACTACTCCATCCCATTATTGGTTTCTACAGACTTGCTGACCGTGTGGCTCTTAGCATCCCTTAGCACCAGGAGATGTGTAACTCGTTTTTGACAGTTCCGTTGCCGCGACGCAGGGCAGAATTTCAGCTGAGGACTGCGCTCCGATTTGACGATCACTTTGGTAACGCACGGAGGTGTTGCTGAACGCGAGGACGGCCTAGAACAGATCACATCAATCAATCTTCATTCAACCTTTGGTTGGGTTATTGTGGCAAATGATTTTCAAGTTAGAGAATAATCAGTTTGTGCTGCGCTGCAAGGAGGGTTTTCTTCCAGATGTGGATCCCATCCAAGCTATGATCTCACAAATGGGGATTGCCTTCGCCCATGAAACCAGCCAGCTCCGGATTCGCTTGTTGGATTTGCCCCATCGCAGAACACCCATCACATGGAACCAATTTGCCGACGTAGAGAAGTGTCTGATGCAGTGGCCGCAGTCTTCTGAGCAGGTGCTGCGATGGATGAAACAAACCGGAGAGATCCAAGCACAAGCACAAATTTTTGCACCGTCCCTGCTGGAGACCTTGTACGATCCGCAAATTCTCAGTGAGTCGGAAGAAAAGAAATTGCCTATCGAGAGCCTGTCTTGGGCAGTCGAACGCAGACCTGGAGCGAATGCGGTGCTGACATGGTCTGCAGATGACTTACAGATGTCCGAGTCAATTCCTTTGAGCCCAGCTGTGGATTCCCGACGCGTGCTGACGCGCTTGGAAGCTTGGCTCGCGCCTTACATGCTACGATACCTCGACTACGACGGCCGGATTGTGCTTCTTCAAGGTCTTGTTGACCAGGTGGACATTGACAGGCTGGAAGCTGTGAGCAAGAACATGAGATGCCAAGAGATCCTGGTGATCCAAGAGAACCTCCGTGAGTGTGTCCCTTCAGGCAGATCCAGCTCCGTGAAGGTTGGTGAAGTGAGTGCACAAGCTGAAGGTTTGTTGGGCAAGGTGGCCGCCTTTGCCAAAAAAGGCGGTGTCACCCTGCTCAGTTTGATGGCCCCTCCGCAGCGCGTTGCACAAGTTGCTAAAGTGGTGGCTGGCAGTCCAATGTCGAAAGTAGTTTGGAAGACTGATATCCACAGTCTGATGAAGCCTGAGGGTTCTGGCGGCAGCATCTTGGCAAAGAGCATCAATCTGATGCTTGAGGAGGAAGCATGGCTTTGTACCTTTGAAGACGTGCAAGCAGAAACGAAGCTCCGGGTTCGCTCTGGGACATATGTCGTTGCAGGTGGGACCCGGGGCTTGGGCCTGCAGATGGCCCAATGGCTCCAGGCGCACGGCGCCTCCACAGTGGTGATTTTGGGACGGACAAAGCTGCGACCTCAGGTTGTAGAGCTGTCGGCAGAGGAATGGAGGGACCGCGCAGACTTCTTAAAATTGAGTTCTTTGATGTTCTTTGTGCAAGTTGACGCGTTGAGGCCATTGGAACTGCCAGAGAAATTAGTTTTCAAGGCTAGTGCTGGCACCATTTTGCAGCATTTGCTGTTTGAACAGTTCTTCAGCCCCCAGATTTTGTCATGTTATTGTGCAAACCTGTCGCAATCATTCGGTCGTGCTGCCAGGAATGCGATGTCACTCAGAAAGACCGCGTGAAAGCAGCTTTGGGTGAGGCTGGAACCTTGTTTTCCTTTGCAGCAAACAAATGCTGACAAAGCAATTTAGCGATGCAAATGTGGCAAATGTGGGTCCCATTTCTCCTGCAGGTTCCACCGCCAATTGCTGGCATCATTTCGATGGCCACGGAGTATCATGACAAGCCACTGGCTTCTGTTGAGGACACAGATTTGAAAAAGGCCATCAGAGTGAAGGTGCTTTGCGCTCTTCATTTGCATCAGGCTGGAGCCCCAAGCGTTTGTTGGCTGAAGACCCTCGCATCTTGAGCTTCCACTCATGCTTAAAGCGTTTGACTTAGAGGAGACTTGCATGTAATTTTTCGCAAGGCAAGCGAGGAGTTGAATCTGGGTTGCGAGATGCAATTCTTGGCCGTGTCCAGCATTGCGACACTCTTCGGCAACCACTCCCAGGCTGCATATGTCATGGCGAATCGATACGTCGAGGGTTTGATGCAACACCGACGGGCTATGAGTGTATTGGCAGGTTTTGGGCAGCTGTTGCTTTTCTTGCTTCCCGTGTCACTGTCCCGACGTTTTCAAATGAGTGAAGAATGTATGCTGGAATCAGAAAGCGCCACTGCAATGTTCAGAGTTGAGTCACCGAGGTCTGCATGGTTCTTTCATGAACGTTGGAGTGATCTCAGATGTGGGATTTGCAGCCGAACAAAACCTTGTGCGGGAGTGGCAGGCCCGTGGCATCAAGGCAGTTTCCTCTGCAGACGTTTGCCTAGCTATGGGCCAGATGCTCGCACGGAACTTACCTTCCCTGGGCTTGTCGCGTAAGGTAGACACCATGGCCTACTTTCAGGCCATTTCCGAATCCTTTGCACTTAGCTGCTTAGCAAATAGACATCTCAAAATTGCAAAGTCAGACAATAGTACAAGAGTGGATCTTTGGTTCGCTAGGTGCTGAACCCTTGGCTCGCTAGGCCTTTCCCCACTTGGTGCACAACATGGAAAAATGGGGGAACTTGAGCCGCCTGAAATGGCTGATGGTGGAGCAGGAGTTTCAAGCCGTGAAGGAACAACTGAAGGAACAGCCATCAATGTTGGGGCAAACGCTTCATGGAAAGAGTGCGGAGGAGAAGGACACATCAAGTTTCACGCTTTGCTTCCTGATGTTTCATTTTTCAGTGTGCATTTGTTGGTGCCCAGTATGCACAGAGTTGTCCACCTTCCTCAGCTTGCAAGCCCAAGCCGCGTGAGGAAGTGCTTGTCGAGGGAATGGTGGCTTCCATGGTGGGAAAGGCGCTGAATGTGGATCCAAAGGAGCTCAAGGGCAACTTGGAAGACTACAGCCTTGATTCGCAATCAGCTGATCAGATCCGACGACAGCTCACCCAAAAGTTCAAGGCCGTTTTTTCGGTAGGGCTAGAAAGGGTAGGATACCTGCAAGATCCAAAACGCCTTTAGATGGTTTTGCGAAATTGTAAAACAGTATTTGGTAATTTGCAGGTAGATGGATGATCTTGGTAAAGATTGCCGATCGAGCTTTCGTCCTACCATGTCTCGGGAAAGACCATCTACTTCCCGCCCTTGGCAAAGATCGAGCGCAACTTTGGAAATTAGAATCGCGGATGAATAGCAGCTCACTTATTATAATGATGAATGAAGTTCTAGTCCGTACAAACCCCGCTGCAAAGATGTGTAATTCTCCTTCTCTTCGATTGAGTATTTGTCTGTCTCAAATGCCAGTTCAGTGACCAGCGGGTCATTTTGCATTTGAGGATTGTAGAAAAAACGAGCGAAAGGAACGCTAAGAATCGCCGTTTGGACGTGAAATCTCGCGGTTTCATTTTCGATAGTTTTGGCTCCAAAACTGCTTGAATATAGTGCCTATAACGCCATGTGTTCAACAACCCTTCGCAGAATTGCAAAACGGACTTGTACTGATCCCGTGTACCTTTGCATTACTCAATTTATGCAGTGATGTATGCCAGAAAGAGGGAAGGCGAGGGCGCTTAGGGTTACATACAATAAGGGAACTGCAGGGAACCATTGAGCAAAATCGTGGCACTACTACTTGTTCCAAGATGCGCCAAATCCGTCAAACTCAGCAATTGGCGATTCGCAAAGTTTACAACTTTTCCTCAGGAAATATGCTTTCTGAGAAAAATGCGGGACGGATGGTGCAGAAATGGAATTGCACATGTCGTGTCTTGCAACGGCGACTAGTCTTTGCTTTTGTTGCTTCTGTCAAAAGTGGAGGTCAATGTGGACCTTCTACTGATCATGAAGAAGGGCGTGAAGGAAATCAGTGCTAGCATCGTGGCGCAGTTGGATGACTCTTCAGGGTCCAAATGGTGGCGGCTTATGAAAGTCATGGCAGCGCCTCGACAGCTGCTGTTGTGCGTTCCACCTAACGGTTTAGGCACCTTGGAGTTTGAGTCTTGGCTGTCTCATCTTGAGATACCCCTGCTTTGTGCAGCACCACCTGGATGGCAAGATCGATCAGAGACTTGCCTCATTTACAGTAATGTCGTTTAGATTTTCAAGCATTCACTGGTTGCGGGAGTGCTGAGTCCCATTGATGCAGCTTCTTGTGTTCTAGATCACGCACTGTGCGTCAATAAGAATTCGCTCATGCCTGAGGAGGAAGCATGCGTGGATGATGCAAAACTTCTCACGAACTATCTCTTCGAGGACCTTTTGGAGCTCCTCCAGAAAAAGGGTTGGACTGACTTGCCGCTGATTCTCTACGGCCATTCCTTCGGTGCTCGGATTGCCTTCTCCTTGGCCAAAGAGATTGAAGCAAATTCTGAGCTAAGGTTGGAGCAATTTTGTCCTGCAGCTTGGTGTGCTCCAGGGACGTCTTACCATAAAAGATATCCCGAGCATATGAAAGTGGAGCCAGAGAAGCTGACGGAGGATGCAGATTTTGTTAAAGGTCAGTTGAGATGCTTTGAATTTTTGCCAGATCTCTCCGAGAAGTCTGCAGAGGTGATCCTGCGAACTGGGCGCTGTGTGGCTGCAAGCCTCAAGATGTTCCGCAAAATAAATTGGGATGAAACAGAAGTTTTTGATGGTTTTTGATGGTTTTTGACATTTCCGTTTCTGCTGTTTTCATCCGTTTACGGCGAGAGTCTGGGTGCGATCGAGCAAGCCGATTCGGCTGGCTTTTGCGTGATTTCTTTTTGTAGCTGGTGTGTAGGCTCTTAGTCTTGTGACAGTTGAAATACTGAGTCATCAAAGACGAACTTGTTTCAACGACCTTCCGTCCCTGAGGCTGAAGCAAGACTGGGCAGTACTACATGGCCAGCTGAAATGTCCAATCATTGCATTTGCTGGGGGACGTGATGCGTTTATGACAGTGGATGACATGCGGAACTGGAGCCTATGCTCAGAGAGCTTCAGCCTGATTCTAGTTGAAGGCGATCATGCCTTTCTTACATCAACAGGGAAGGAAATTTGTGGCACCATAATCTCTGCGGTGAACCATCCAGATCAGGGGTTGCAAATCCTGAAGGCAAAGTCAAACAGGACACATCTGGATGTGACCTGGGAAAGGCGAGCTGCTGTTGCCAAGGTCTGAGCCGCTTTGAAAACAAAGTGGTGGAACTGCGCAAAGCTGTTGGTTTTGAGGATGAAGCCAACTCTTTTGCTGTCCTGATGGCCTTCCGCAACCAGATTGCCGCCAATTGATAGCCCGAGGTGACGCTTCAGGTGAAATCTGTTCAGCCTAGTTGCAGCTCTTAGTCCGAAATTCAGAGACGTGGCTGCCACTTTCTGGCCTGAAACAGGTCGGTTGGGGGGCTTGCCACGATGACAGTGTGATTCGCGACGGATAAAATCTTATTGATTTTTGTTTTGGCATTTTTTTGCAAGCGGTTGACCCAAACGCTGTTGGATGCATCTGCTTTCGCATTCAGGAATTTTGAGGCCAAGAGGGTGTGGCAGAAAGGCATGCACTGATGAAGAAACGCTAGCCTATGTTTTTCAACTGCCAAAGAGACGTTGTTCTGGAAGCAGTAGAGCGTTGCCCGGCATTTATTTTGCCTGCGTTCCCTTTGTGAAGTTCACCAGGGAACGTGCTTTAAATTTGCAAAGGTGATTGAAAACATCTATAGTTAAACGCCCAACTCTCAGAGTTTGGCCCAAACAGTTTTGCTTCCTTTGTCATCCCAGCTATTCCCAACTCAGATACTTTGGACTAACGTTTCTTGGCTTGTCTTTTAGAGTCTTGGACTCCGGGAGAACCGTTTGAAGCATTGTAGCCACTGAAGGAGTTCGGACTTGTGCTGTTTGGACAGTCTTGGGTAGTGCAACACTTGCAAGGCAGTGGGAGTCAGAGTTTTCCAGTGTAACCAAGCAGACAAAGTGCATGGTGAAAACGTTGAGAGTGTGGTTAAGACCATGTCCAAAATAAAGTCAACAGCGGACGTGGGCCACACGATCTCCCCTGAGCGTGGCGAATTTGTTAACTTGTTTTTGATTAAGGACATGGCTGAAACCCGTTTTCCAGACTTCACCAATGGGGAGATGAAGTTGGGTGACGAGAGGCAGGTTTTTGCAAAATCAGTGGTGGATGCTGCCATTCAGGTCTATGTGAACGGCAGGGTGAATGACTATTTGCCTGTGAGACTGATGGGCCAGTGGTTGCGTGGAGTGGACCGTCTTCTTCCAGATTCCACACTCTCGTGGCCGGACCGGCACCGCTTGATCGCAGAGCTCTTGTACCTCTCTGGAATGAGATTGGGCGGACTCCCCATCAAAGCGATGCAGTTCGTCGGTCTCAGAGACGACCTGCCCGATGGCTATCAGCAGTGGTTCAGCAAGGCACAGGAAGACAACAAACTTCGAAGTCCAGCTGACCACGTGCAGAAGACCCTGGCAGTTTTTGGACCAAACCTTACATGGAGTTATGAGCCCTTGAAGTCTGCTTCGATTGCACAAGTACATCTGGATGTGACCTGGGAAAGGCGAGCTGCTGTTGCCAAGGTGCAGCATCCACACGTCAAGGATCAGTACTTGGCTGATTTGGACACCATGAAGTACCTGGGCGAATACGTGAACCACCACGATGAGGCGAAAGGGGCCGCCGTGATGCTTGGAGCCTTGGCGGAGAAGTTGAGGCCTACGGTTGTTGCAGAGACAGACTTCACCAAAGAAGCGGAGAACCAACGCAAGTTGCGAGAGTTTTTGCAGGGCATTGCCACTGTCCCAGAGGCCTGTTTGTCGATGGTTTTGTTCTAGAGCCGTGTTTTGGCCAAACTTGTCAATAATTCATGTGGTTTTCGGTTTTAGTGAAGGACGGACCGGCTTCTTTGAACTGAAATCATGGTTTGTCAAGCTGTGCATGGCAGGGTGGCAGGTTGAAGTTTTTGTTTGCTTCAGGTCTTCGCAGCAACTACGACTGCATTGGTGATGGAACGTGTGAATGGCATGACAGCAGCTCAGGTCACCCAGGCATGGAAGGATGGTGAGAAGCTGGATCATTTTGGCCCTCGTCAACGGCGCAATTTGTACAGCATCTATGCCCGGATGGTGAGTGGTGGGCGGTTTCAGGCCGATCCCCACCCTGGCAACATCATGTCTCCCAATGAAGGAGCAGACGCAATCGGCCTACTGGATTTTGGCCAGTGCTGTGAAGTCACTCCCCAGCAGAAGAATCTGTTCCATGCGTTTGCCGTCGGAGCCCCTACTTCCGAGTTTGAGGCCAACAACCAAGAGCGCAACTTGGAATGGTTGAAAAGTCTTGGCATCGAGGTTCACACCCCAGAACAGGCGCAGGCTACTGCGAACTTGCTTTTCTTTGGGCAGAAGAGCCCGATGTTCCCGGACACCAAAGCTATTGACCCGGAGCTCACACCGTTGCTGCTCTTGGTCTTGTATCTGAGCCGCTTTGAAAACAAAGTGGTGGAACTGCGCAAAGCTGTTGGTTTTGAGGATGAAGCCAACTCTTTTGCAGTCCTGATGGCCTTCCGCAACCAGATTGCCGTCAATTTATAGCCCGAAGTGACGCTTCAGGTGAAATCTGTTCAACCTAGTTGCAGCTCTTAGTCCAAAATTCAGAGACGCGGCTGCCACTTTCTGGCCTGAAACAGGTCGGTTGGGGGGCTTGCCACGATAGCAGTGCGATTGGCGAAGGATGAAACAAAAGGTCTCTGACCGCTAGTCTTTGGAGTTTGCTCGTTGCCGTGTTGTCGTTTTGCGCAGCCAGTTTTAAACCATGCAAGTCACTGAGTATAGATTCACCACTTGCAGTTGACCCAACCGATGTTGTATGCACTTGCTTTTGAACTCAGGCTCAGGAATCTGACGACCAAATGGAAATGGCAGAAAACATGCACCGACTGTCAACAAAGGTTGCTGCATGGCATTGTTTTTTGAATTTCAACACAACTGTCGACTGCTGTTTGCGTTGGGCGAATTCTCCAAACTCAATAGCATTCATTGCTTGCTGCGACATCGCTTAACATTATTCGCAGCGCATCTTTGCTTGGATGTGCACGAACAGGCTGGGTTCAAACAAATCTATCCAAAAAACATGAATGGTTTAACAGAGTCATTACATGTCATGACATGTGTGATTTGGAATCTTCAAACTGTTTCAATGAGGTAACTATTGGCAGGTCTCATGTTTTTTGATGCGTCCACGTGCTGAGATTACAACCATCTTTAGCAACCGCACGCAGTGGAGACACCAAGGTTTACTGTACTTGTTGTGACTGTTTGTCCTTTGTTAGCCACACTTTAGCCTTTTTTGAGACCAACAACAGGAAAGAAACAGACCAAACATGATCAAACCAACTTCACATTGGACTCAGATGATGTCATGTCTACAGATTTGACGCACCTACACTTTTGGATACGTCGAATTTTGCAGCAACTGTTTCAATCCTTGGCACTAAACAATTTTTCCTGTTTTCCCGTTGACGAGTTTACGGACTGGCCGAAAACAATATGTAATGTGCAAACCTGCCTGAAACATACGATCTAAGCGCCAAACTTGCAATCAAAAAAAAAGAAAAGAATGGAAACCGCGCGCCAAACTAGAGGTATTCATTTTTTTTGCTCAAGACACAATTAATTTCAAAAACATACTGTGCAACTGAGACCGTGTGCCTGCAATTCTAGAAGGTCCCCAGCATGTCCAACTGGCACGAAGACGTTAACGAAAAAAACTGACCCGTGACCAGATTATATCAACAAAACAACAACAACAACAAGAACAAGAACAAGAACAAGAACAACAACAACAATAACAATAACAAGAACAAGAACAAGAACAAGAACAACAACAACAACAAGAACAAGAACAAGAACAACAACAACAACAACAACAACAACAAGAACAAGAACAAGAACAACAACAAGAACAACAACAAGAACAACAACAAGAACAACAACAACAAGAACAAAAACAAGAACAACAACAAGAACAAAAACAAAAACAACAAAAAGAACAACAACAAGAACAACAACAACAACAACAACAAGAACAACAACAAGAACAAGAACAAAAACAAGAACAACAACAACAACAGCAGCAACAACATCATCATCATCACCTTGAGAAACCTGCCATAAACATTGTAAACCTGCTAAAAACTCAGTCGAAAATCTTTGGTAGTAGTTTAAAAATGTTTGGACATGATTTCGCCTTTCTCCAGGCCATGGATGCCCAATGCTGGCTACACCACGTCCATTTTGGACGGAAGAGTAGGCCAAAAGCATGGCGCCCAGGCGCTCGATCTATGGATGGTTGAGTGATTTGAACGTGGATGCCACGCGAAAAAATGGGATGGTGAAGTGAAAAGAAACAACAAAAAGACGCAAATGGTGTGTTTCTTGGTGCCCCTGCTAGGTGGTGTGCTTCCACCACCAGGAGTACCACGGCAACAGGCCTTACTACGCTTGGCAAAACGAGCAGCAGAGGGTCACCCTTTGAGTCTGGAGGACAAGGGATCTGCGGCCCTACAGAAGAAACTACTAGGGAAGCTGCTGGGGATTCATGGCGCTGGGTCTGAGTCTGTTTTCTGTTCAGTTTTTTTGTGGGTGTTGACCGTGTATCATTCAAGAAACTCAAAGACAATCTGAATTGCCTTTAGCTTTGAGACCTTTGAGACCTTTGAGACTCGATGTACACATTAAGAAACATGTACTGAACTGATGCAGACTCTATCACTGAGAGACATGTTTGGAGGGCATCTCCCCAGCGTAAGGATTAAAACTTGACGGCAGGAGATGGAGAGCACGTCCTTGGCAACAGATTTCAAGAGTTCGGCACTTAACTCACAAATGAGTTGATTGGAAAATGGGTTATCCCCAAATTCCCACTGATGATCATTGATTATCGTCATTCTTGTGTTGAATATGGTCCATCAAGAAATTGTTGAAGGAATAGTTTGGTTTCATGTCTCCTGAGTGTTTGCGGGAATACTTGGTGATACCATGTGATATAGCACCTATATGACGACTTCAGGGCTTGTCTTCATGTCAGTAAAGACTTGATGAGACTTGATGAGACTTCTGCAATTCAACTCAGGTTTACGAGTGAATTCCTCGCTCCAGCAATTATCTTTGGACAAAGCCGGTCTTGAGACTTGTTGGAAGGTCATGATGGCAGGGTACTTTTGGATATTACATAGCCGCCAAAAACTTCGAAGGGCAAAATTCCAATTGCCTTTGCTGGTATCTGCTGGTACCTAAGCCCATCTGAAGAAGTGGGGTCCACTGCCAAGTCCGGAATTGAAACCTCCAGCGGCTTCGTCCCTCATGTGAACATCACCTGTAGCAGAACTCGTTGTAGAAGGTGGGCCTTCATAAGCATGAGTGGGGAACCCCCAAAGCAGGGAAGGGTGAAATTGTGAACGGGTCTTGCTCCGAAGTATGGATGTTTTATTTGTTTTATGATATTTTCGTGTCTTGATAGCCTTCCAAGACTTCCAAGGTATGGAATGGGCCGACAGAAACGCTCCCGGTGATTCCGTTGCTTTTGGCAGATGTCGTATATGCACCCGTCAACCAGAGGCAGCCGAGGCCGAGAGTGGTTCCATGAAGGTGATCCCAAAGCCTATATGCCTTTCTGAGATTGACACAGCAAGCCTTGATATTTGCAACTCTTACTTCTGTTGGTTTCCTTTCAGTCCATTTAAATGTTAAGAAGCCTAAGAACACAGGGGCGCCTATCTGATGGATGGCGGCGCATGATTTTGTACAACTTGCATCAGGCAAACTATACCTTTAGCCACTCATGTGGTCGTCCTTGCACCACGACCAAAGGGCGAAGAACATCGAGAGGCAATGGAGATGCATTGGGAGTTTAATTGGGGGTTGATCATGATGTAGGATGATGAACCGGAGATTATCATTGCAATCATAATCCATGTCCATGAGGTGGAAATCCCTGTGAAAACCAACCCTTGTATCACGAAAGCTAGCATCAGCTAGCTGAAGTTGCCTGAATCGCGTGGTAAAACCACCCTTGTCATTGGCTTGACTCCCCCCCAAGGTTCCTGAACTCTAGCCTCACATGATATTTGCCCTCTGGCATATTTACACTAGGCGCATTCTTCCTGCCACAGGATGCTGAACTCTTATTACGGTTATTGTCGACATTGACCCCTCGACATTGGCCCATGATTCAAGCTACGCTAGTTTTCCTCATGTACCCGCCTCAAGTGTTCACTCACCAACCATTCCAAACTATTAGAAGGAATTCCCATAAAATTTCCATCATTAACCCAAGCATTTATCAACTCGTCAGCAGTTTGGAATTTTCGATTTTTTCGATGGCAGTTCGCCAGGTGTGGCTGCTTTGTGTCGTTGCCAAAGCTGGTCTGCAGGGCTTGCTGGGTCGGCTCGCGCGGCGTGGCTGTCTTCGCTGGGACTTGACAGAGCCTTCGCTGGGCAAAAATAGGCCTTGAACGGTGGATCTGTTCGGCCTAATTAAGGTCTTTCACTTCATGGAACTGTATGTAGAAACATCTGAGGTTATGCAACTTATGAATTTCAATTTGTTGATGATTTTGATTGCAGATGCAATTTTGTGGCACAACACCTAAAGGCAAATCACCCTCGAAACTGTGTTTGATCAACTAAAACCCTGGATGGACATCTGCAGCACCTTTTGGAGAAGATTTCCGGCAAACCAGACAAAAAATCAAGCTCTGGTTTGGGGGACATCCATTTGGGGTATTGATCATCCAGCTATTGGGCATGCCCGGCATGCCCCAGAAAATGGAAACCTGCAGCTGCGATCAGGACTGCTTCAAAATATCGCCCCTCGGAAGCGATAGCTATGGAAAATCACCATGAAAGTCATGGGTAAATCATCTATGAATGGGCAATTTACCATATTAGACTGCTAAAAAATAGCGGAGGGAAATTGTATATAGAGGTCTCATTCGATGATATCGCTTGACTGGGTGGTAAGGAATCAGTGGAAATGTACTCACAAAGCCTCGGCCAGATTCGAAGGACCATGGAGACGTGGTTTTGAGGACCAACATCACCCAAACGGATCCAATTTTGATGGATTTCATCTAAATTTGGATCCAAATTTATGGATGGCTTTGGAGTTCATCAATTTCTACACCTCAAGGTCCAATTTTTTCGCTGCCAAGGAAGTCCTGTCAGGGTCAGGGAGGCCAAGGCGCGGCAATCCAAATCGGCCAGTCAATAAGGTTGGCTCAACAATTTTTTTTGAAGGCATTATTTAGAAGATTGAGACCTTTGTAAGTTCTCTTGCAGAGGAACCGAAGTGAGTCCTTCGCATGAACATCTTGTATTTCAATCCACTTACACGCACCAATCGTGGTAGTTCTTTAGGCCTCGGGCTGTTTGACCATGTGGTTGGGCAGTTTGGCAGTGCGGCTTTGAACTGATCAAAGAACTACGTGGGCAGTGCTGCTTGAGCAAAAAACATGCAGCAATGTTGAGGACCGTGGGCCCAGGGGAATGAGATAGATGATAGATATGAAGCAATGCGACGGTGCAGCTATCCACAAGATCTATTGAGAAGTAGACCGGGAACTATGTGCCTGTGCGTGGAATTGACCTTCTTGCACCTTTTTGCATACCAAGTTGCAAATTCCCAATTTGGTGACTTTGGTGACTTTAATCTTCTCAAGTCTCTTGGAACAGCCGCAGGTGCTGTGTTCAGTGGAGTGAACGTTGGGCCCTTGGAACCTCCGAGGCGCGGTGAATTGAACATGGAAATGGTCAAGTTCCTGTGAGGAAACAACTTGTGCTGTTATGCCATGTAAATGTATAATTATGTGTATATATACAGTATATAATGTATGTGTATTATATATAATTATATAATATATAAATTGATATTGTACATTATATATATATATATATATTATATGACATATACACACACACACATCTTCTTGCCTTTCTCCGAAATGTTCCGCGGTGAGGATGCTTCAGGAATCTTCGGACATGATCTGCTTGGAGAGTGCCCACAACTTTAATGACATCGCAGCGAAGGCCCTGACACAATGGAATTTGGCAAAACCCCCAGTGTGAAGCGATGTGAAACGGTTGCAAAACGGTGGGCCGGCGGCAACCTGCTGAAGACCCAAGATAGTTTAAAATGGTCCCGGGTGGTCATGATCAGTTGGCTGGTCATGCCAGGTGTGGAACAAAGACAATGAAGAGTCGATCAGACAGGAGGTCTGCTTCATGCAACAGTGTCTTGATGGAAGGGGCAGGTGCAGGTCAGGATGGCGTGACCTTTGGTGATCCAAAGTGGAAAAATCAACGATTCTCAGCAGTTGTCCCAGTCGTTGAGACCCCACATGTTTTGGACCGCATTTGTTGGTGAAGTTTTGAACCAGTCATCTCACCACACACAGGGGGTGTTCCCAGTGTTCCGTTGCAGCAGTGGATTTTTTGGGGCCACCGTTGCCACCGTTGAGCCCTGCACCAAGGGCTGGTGGCCATCCCAACATCTCTGTGATGCTGGGCCTTTTCTGCGCCGAATCGCCAGGCCGGTCGTGATTGGTGGAGCCATGCCATGGCATGCTGCAATATAAACCACCAATGTCACCAATGATCAACCATGAGGATATGGTATGATGGAATATTGGGCAGGCACCGGGTCAGGTTCAACGAGGTTCCGGAGAAGGTTCCCCGGTGAGGTTCAACAGGGTTCCGGAGAAGGTTCCGGATAAGGTTCTGGGAGGCTTTGGTGCAGAGCCAGGTGAGGTTCAACAGGATTCCGGAGAAGGTTCCGGAGAAGGTTCCGGAGAAGGCCTGGGAGGCTTTGGTGCAGAGCCAGGTCAGGTTCAATACGGTTTCGGAGCAGGTTCCGGAGAAGGTTCCGAATAAGGTTCCGGGAGGCTTTGGTGCAGAGCCAGGTGAGGTTCAACAGGGTTCCGGAGAAGGTTCCGGAGAAGGTTCCCGAGAAGGCCTGGGAGGCTTTGGCGTAGAGAGGCAGGTCAGGTTCAATATACGGTTTCGGAGAAAGTTCCGGAGAAGGGGAGGCTTTGGTGCAGAGCCAGATCTCAACAGGGTTCTGGAGAAGGTTCCGGAGAAGGTTCTAGGAACCCTTGGTGCAAAGCCAAGTCAGGTTCATTGGGTTCGGCCAGGTCTCAACAGGGTTCCGGAGAAGGTTCCGGAGAAGGTTCCGGAGAAGATTCCGGAGACGGTTCCGGAGAAGGTTCCAGGAAGCCTTGGTGCAGAGACAGGTTAGGTTCAACAGGGTTCCGGAGAAGGTTCCGGAGAAGGTTCTGGGAGGCTTTGGTGCAGAGTCAGGTCAGGGTCAACAGGGTTTCGGAGAAGGTTCCGGACAAGGTCTGCGAGACTTTGGTGCAAAGCCAGGTCAGGTTCAACAGGGTTCCGGAGAAGGTTCCGGAGAAGGTTCCGGGGAAGTTTCCAGGAAACCTTGGTGCAAAGCCAAGTCAGGTTCAACGGGTTCCGGAGAAGGTTGCAGAGAAGGTCCCGGAGAAGGTTTTGGGAATCTTTGGGCCAGGTCAGGTTTAACAGGTTCAACAGGGTTTTCAGTGCTTGGCCTTGCAGCATGCTTCAGAAAGATTTGTAAAGATAAATCGCTGCGGCTGTTGGGGATACCACCGAAGCTTATTTTCTAAGTTGGTGAAAAACCAACATAGATGGCAATGCCCATGGGACCATCGGTTGATGGGGGATGACTTTGGTCTTTTTGAGTATAGATCAGTTTGGTGCTGAGTTTTGATAAGCAATTAGCTTGGGCACTTGGCACACCGGGACAGCTTAGGTGGTCAACTTCGATGGGCTCTCATCATGGAACTATGTCCTGGTGGGGATGTATCTTGCCGCAGATGCTGCCTGTGTTCTGCCAGGAGACAACATGTGGATTGAAGATAGGTGCATTTCCGATCTTGCAATCCCTGCTCTCGACACATTAACTTGCAGTGGACATGATAGCCCATTTGCTTTTGTAATTTTTCGAATCGCCCATGTTGAGATATGCAATTGTTTGCCCATCAATTTGTGTATTTTGATATTTTTTCCCATTTATTTCCCATCTACTGGGAAACTGTTTGCGCGTGATTTTCTCTTTTCACTATTTGTTTATGAGTTCATTCCCAATTATCTTCGCATTAATTTTCTTTGTATTCTCAACGGATTTCCATGAATTTCCGCTGTATTTCCACCACGAATCTATTCTTTGTGTATTCCAATTTATCAATCTGCCTTCTCATGTATTCCCAATTTGTTTCGTTCGCATGCCCAACTTGTATGCACAGCATATTTCCGTGTATCCTTGTTTAAATTAGCATTCATTTCATCATTTAATTACTAGTCAGCTCAATTCGATTCACTTGCATTCCCGCTCTTTATTTCTTCACAGACTTTCCATTCTGATTCCCACATATTGTCTGATCAATTTCCCATCTACAGAATTCCATCTTGATTTCCATCCATTCCCCAGATATTCTTCATTTCTTTCCCACTTATCGCTCATTGATTTCTCAGGACCCTCCAAATTGAAATCATTACACCCAGGTCCATCAGCATGCAAATGGCTGTGGCCTAAAACCGTTCCAAGCTCAGTCTGGAAGTCTGAGATCAGGGAAGATGAAAATCAGCCTTTTCCTGGCACCACTCTGGAGTTTGAAAACCAGCGTACCCCTGCCTCCTATGCCTCCCGCGACTCCCAAGATCTCGCAAGATCTCCAAGGCACACAGCTACGGAGGTCCTTTTTGGAGTCCTTTCCGCCTTGATCCATCTGCACAGTCTCCGAATCATCCATCGAGATGTCAAGGCAGAAAATGTCCGGTTCCCCAAATGACCTGGCAGACCTGACCTGGCCCTGGCCGATGGGGTGCCACTGAGGTGATGATCAACTGCGACCATGCGGTGTTGGTGGAAGCTCAGATGCATTGCTGACCTGGTGTGGTGGTGTGACGGGAAGCCTGGGCACAAAAGGGGAATATCGGGATGTGCTTGCCTGCTTTGAGCTGGACACTTTGCTTCAAAGTAGCTGGCCGCTGGCCATCCAGGACTTTGGAATTGCGGCATTCCTACATGATGCAGCGGCAATGAAGGCAATTGCAGAGTCGAAACCCATGCCAGCGGAACACAGTGCATTGAAATGCAGCATGAGGTTAAGGTTGAAATGGTTTAAACTTGGTGTTTCACTGCTGTTCAAAAAGATGGTGGTAAACTACAGCAGGGTTCCAAACTCGTTTTTGTGTCACTTTTGGGCGAGCTTTGTGGCTTTTGGGGCATGACACAAGGGCGCAGAATTGCTGATCTTTGATAGGCGTGTGTTGGATCACCCGGGTATGCAGCGCCAGAGGTGCGGCTGGGGGCAGCTCAGTTGTGTGAAGTTTCACTTAACCCCCCTGCCTCCCCCTCTTAGGGCTGGATTCCCACCCGGGTGGCTTGAATATCCTTTCTCATCATTTATCGATAATTTATCAATACTCATGACTTCTCATTATTCCTACCATCACGCCTCCAATGATCTCAAACCATCTTGTATATGTAATTGTCTCTCGTCGCATCTCGTCTCATCAGATCTTTTCTCATCGTGTCTCAAATGTCTTGTCATGTCTCATATCATCTCAGCTCATCTCACTTCATTGCATCTGATCTCATCTCATGTCATCTCATCAAATTGTTTCTTGTCGTTTCCCATCATTTCTCATCATTTTTCGTCATGCCTCATCATGCCTTAACTCAATTCATCTCATGTCATCGTATCTCATCATATCTCATCTCATCAATGTCATTAATCGCATCCCATCCCATCGCACCATATCTTGTCATCTCATAAATCTGCCATCATCTGCCATCATCTGCCATCATTTTCCACATCATAGTTAGGAAATGTTAGGAATATGATGAAAAGCTACTGGGAAGATATTAAAGCATCTCTTTTCATCAACTTGTCATCCTGTCTCCAGTGGTTTTTCCCACTGCCTGCAGGTCATCCAAGGGCGACCATACAACGAGGCGGTGGATCTCTTCTCCACTGGAGTGCTGTTGTGACCTGGCCATGGCGGCCATGGCGTGGGTTTTCCCTATTGGAGGAAACACTTGAAATCGATCTTTTTGGGGACCCAAACATATCACATATATATATATACATTAAATACATACATATATGTGTATATATATATATAGTATTATACTGTATATAACCCTTTGGTTCTTCTATGTCGCAATTTGCATACAGAAGTTAATATTACATGTACACAACTGGGGATCAAAACTACCAAGTACAACAACAAATTGAAGCGATGAACATCTAAAAATCGTAGATATTTTGAGGTGAGCAGCAAGGTCTTCAGCAGCTCACCAAGGTACTTCATGCTGTATGGCAAGTTGCCCTTCGATGGCACCAACTCGAAGGACACGGCTGGCCATTGATGATTTTCCTCTCGAAAATTGTGTTTTATGGATATTTATCGGTGGTTTATCTGGTAAAAATGAACATTGTGTTTTATGCATGATTTACTTCTTGAACATGGCTTTTTCCCCAAACAGTTTACTGTTGGGGTTCTCAATTCTTTCTTAAATAGGTGTCCGGCTCTGTCCAGGTGGTAGTGTCCGGCTCTCTGGATGTCTCCACTTCAATTGTCTCCCCATCTAGCAATTCATTTGTCTCTCAGTCTGGACTGGCTCTCCGGATGTTTCCAATTCATGTGTCTCCGGTCTGGCAATGCATTTGTCTCCCAGTTTGGCTGATTGTGTCCGGCTTTTCCGATGTTTCTCTTTATTTGTGTTCCATCCTGGGTGGTGGTTTGGCTGGTGGTGCTTTTTCCCCACGCAGTTTACTGTTGGGGTTCGCAATTCTTTCTTCAGAGGTGTCCGGCTCTTTCTAGGTGGTGGTGTCCGGCTGTCCGGATGTCTCCAATTCATTTGTCTCCCAGTCTGGCTGCTAGTATATATACCGGGAACCTTGGAACATTGTTTCCCACTGTGTCTTCCCTTGTGTCTCCCACTATGTCTCTCTCTCTCTCTGTGCCTCCTACTGTGTCCCCCTTGTCTCCCACTGAGTCTCTCCCAGAGTGTGTCCCAGTTTGTCTGTGTCCCCCACCTTGTCTCCCACTGTGCCCCCTTATCTCCCACTGTTTTTCTCCCACTGTGTGTCTCCCACTGAGTCTCCCTTGTACTCCCCTGTGTCTCCCAGTTGTCTCCCTGTGTCTCCCACTTTGTCCCCCAATTTTTGGGTCCAGGACATTGGAACCTTGTCTCCTAGTGGTCTTCCAGTTGTTTCCCACATTATGCTCCAGTTGTCTTCCAGGGGATAAATTACGATTCAGAAACTGCGATTCAGCAACTCCAAGGATTCAAGAACATGGTCCCGCTTCAGAAACTCCTGATTGCCCCGATTCAGAAACTCCAGTGTGTCCCGATTCAGAAACTCCTGGTTGACCGGATTCAGAAACTCGTGGTTGCCAACTCCTCTGTGTCCGTTGCAGAAACTTGGCTGTATCACGATTTAGAAACTCTTCAATGTCCGATTCAGGAACTCCACTGTGTCCCGATTCAGAAACTCCACTGTGTCACGATTCAGAAACTCAACCATATCACGATTCAGAAACTCCTCTGTGTCCCGATTCAGAAACTCTTGCTTGTCCAGATTCAGAAACTCCTGCTTGTCCGATTCAGAAACTTCCAATTCACAATTTCCTTTTCCATAGAGTTCTGGTCACGGTCGCAAGGTATTTTTTAAATTTCCTCCCCCGAAGCCCTACATGCAATGGTATTCAAATTCCCTAATTTGCTCCCTCCTCTGTCAAAGAGTTCTTGTCACGAGTGCCAGTCATTTTTTCCATCTTTCCCCCCCCAAAGCCCTACATGCAATGGTATTCCTCAATTCGCAGCCTCCTCTTTCATAGAGTTCTTGTCACGATTGCAAGTCATTTTTTAAACCTCCCCCCCAAAGCTCCACATGCAATGGTAGTCCTCAGCTCATAACGTCCTTTTTCATAGAGTTCTTCTCACGATTGCAAGTCATTTTTAAATCTTCACCCCCCAAAGCCCTACATGCAATGGTATTCCCCAATTCACAACCTCCTCTGTCATAGAGTTCTTGTCACGATTTGAAGTCACTTTTTGAACTTCCGCCCCAAAGCCCTACATGCAATGGTAGTCCTCAATTCACAACCTCCTCTGTCATAGGGTTCTTGTCGCGACTGCAAGTCATTTTTTAAACTTCCCCCCTCAAAGCCCTACATGCAACAGTAGTCCTCAATGCACATCCTTCCCTTTCATAGACTTCTTGTCACGATTGCAAGTCATTTTTTAAACTTCCCCCCTCAAAGCCCTACATGCAATAGTGGTCCTCAATGCACAGCCTTCTCTTTCATAGAGTTCGTGTCTTGAAGGCAAGTCCTTTTTTAAGATTTTTCCCCCAAAGCCGTACATGCAATAGTAGTCCTCAATGCACAGCCTTCCCTTTCATAGAGTTCTTGTCACGATGGCAAGTCATTTTTTAAATTTCACCCCCCTCCAGCGCTGCCAAATCGTGGGCAGAGTACAATGAGAGCCAATTGAGATTTGGTGCTTTGCTAGCACAAGCTACACCGTCAAGATGCAGCGGAACCTACATGAACTGGTGTGGGCAGTAAGCATTAGTTAACATTAAACATAGCAGGATGAAGTAGCATTCCACTGATGGAGCCGCGGTCTTCTCGGTGAAGCGGGGCCTTTGTTCCGTAGGAACATTATGCAAAAGCAGCCTGTGAAGTTGAAGACATTTGAGCTTTCCAATCATGATTGCAGTCACGCCACACTCTTTATATCCGAGGCTTCGTCGTTTCCCAATAACATTCCTGTGAGTTTCCGTGTCTGCGGCAAAAAAAGTTGTGGAATCCAGTTTTCCAACCCATCACAGGTTTTTGGATCAGAATGCATGAGTGTTTTCGATTCTTGTGGCTTTTTGATTTTCAAACCCCCACGGGGTTGTGACTACCTGCATCAGGGAGCTCCAAAGTTTCCAAGCAATCTTCTTTGCAGAAGTTCATTCTTCTCCGTGAAATGTTCGAATCCGAGTGGCTGTGGGATTCCGTATCCGCGGGCTATAGGGGGTTTCTGAAGCAGAGCTGCCGCCAAGTTACCGAATCCGCGCGGCAATGAAGTTAGGGGCCTGGAAGTTTCCGAATCAAAGCTCGGCCAAGTTTCCGAATCTGGGCGTCTATGAAGTTTCCAAATCCGGGGGCCTGGGAGTTTCCGAATCAGAGCTCGGAGAAGTTTCCAAATCCGGGCGGTTACGAGGTTTCCGAATCCGAGGGCCTGGGTGTTTCCGAAGCAGAGCTCCTGCAAGTTATCGAATCTGCCGCTGAAGTTTCCGAATCCGGGGGGGCCACGAATTTCCGAATCTATGGGCCCGCAAGTTTCCGAATCTGACGTTGAAGTTTCCGAATCCGAAGTTGGCCCTCTTCCAGGTGTTTTGAAATTGCCTCCCACTTGTCACCCAGTTGTCTCCCAGTTGTCGTACAGATGTGGACTCCACTTGTCTTCCAATTGTCTTTCGGCCACTTGTCTCCCGGTTCTGTCCCAGTTGTCTCCCAGATGTCTCCCGGATGTGGTTTCCCAGGTGTTGTCTCCTAGTTCTCCAAGGTTGCTCCACTTGTTGTCTAGTTGTCCAGTTGTATTCCACTTGTCTCCCAGATGTGGTCTCCCAGATGTGGTTTCCCAGATGTGGTCTCCCACTTGCCTCCCAGATGTGGTTTCCCAGATGTTGTCTCCGAGTTGCCTCCAAAGTTTCTACACTTGTTGTCTAGTCTTCCACTTGTCTCCCAGATGTGGTTTCCCAGGTGTTGTCTCCCAGTCCTGTTGTTGTTTAATTGTCTTCTATACCTCTCTACCAGATATGTTCTCCCAGTTGTCTGCCAGATGTTTCCCAGATGTGGTTTCCTAGATGATGTCTCCCAGTTGCCTCCAAGGTTTCTTAGGTTGTTGTCTAGTTGTCTTCCACTTGTCTCCCAGATGTGGTCTCAAAATTGTCTTCCAATTGCCTTCCACAATTCCGATTTGTCTCCCAGCATTGGTTTTCCAATGCCTCCAAGTGTCTTCCATTTGTCGCCCTGTTGTTTCCCAGTTGTCTTTCAGATGTTGTCTCCCACTTGTCGCCTAGTTGTTTCGGGTTTGTCTTGCAAATGTGGACTTCCAATTGTCTCCCAGTTTGTTCCAGATGTGCTCTCCCGATTCTCTCTCAGTTGTCTGCCACTTAACCCCCACAACGCCCAGTTGTCTTCCAGATTTAGTCCCCCAATGATTTCTGAATTGCTTTCCACTTGTTTTAAGCTGCCTCCCAGATGTGGTCTTCCAATTGTCTTCCAACTGTATCCTTTAGCCTTGAATTTGAAACCGTCACCGCTGTTGGGCTGCAAAGCTCTACGGATGCTTTTCTTTACTTGTCTCCGTCTCCCTGTGTCTCCCACTCTGGCTACTGGTGTCCGACTCTCTGGATTTCTCTTGTTACAGTGCTTGTTTCCTGGTTTCCCTTGATGTGTCTCCCGCTCTGGCTAATGGTTTCCGGCTCTCCGGATGCCTCTCTTCACTGGTCTCTCTTTATTTGTCTCCGAGTCTGGCTCGTGGTGTCTCCCATTCTGGCTAGTGTTGTCTGGCTCTCCAGGTGTCTCTCTTTACCCCTTCCTTCATGTGTCTGCCACTCTGGCAAGTGGTGTCCGGATGTCTTCTCTTTGCTTTCACTTGGCTCCCATCATTTGTCTCTTACCATCTGTCTCCCGATTCATCTGTCTCCCAACTCATTTGTCTTCAATCATTGGTCTGCCTTAGTGGTGGTGTCTGATTCTTTCGCCTGTTCGCCTTTGTGCGTGTCTTCCATCTTTTGTTTCTCACCATTTGTCTCCCATTTCATTTGCCTCCCATTCATATGTCTCCCCTAGTGGCGGTGTCCTGTTCTTGTTTCATCACGATTTCATTTGTGATTGGTCCTTATCTCTGTTCTTGTCTCCCTCTGTGTCCTCTTGTTGTCTCAGGAGTTACACCAGCATAGGCCCCGGACAGCAATAACATGAAAAACGTGTTGCTTATTTATGCTGTTCTCAATTTAGATGGACTAAAAAATGCCAACACAAGGAACTAGCATACCCACAAACATGCACGCAGACACTGCAATGGATATGGAAAACTGTTTTGGGGCCTACAGGGGTGTAATATAGATGATTTACACAAAAAACTTTCAAAAACATGATCATTGGTTATGGACAATCACCAGTGCAATCATAGACAAATCATTGAAATGAATCGGCTGTGAAATCCACGGACGCTAGATGGTTTGGGGGCTTCAACTGTCTTCAGCACAGCATGGGTGAACAGCAATTTCAGTCCGAGATCCCAAAAAGAAACTTGACACTGTGAGCGGCTGTGAGGACATTATGCACAAGACGGTGCATTGTGACGTGATCTATCCCGAAAAAGAGGTGCGCGTTGACAAACTCGTTGCACCAACGGTCTTGGTCTCCCATGTGCAAGTGAATTTATCATTTGGTAATTTCCCAAATTTTTGTCTATTAACAAAACATGAATTGGGGTGTATCACAGACGGCTTCTGAGTGGTACGTGCATGGCGTGAGCAGTGGGGCACATCGGAGATTCCGGTCCGGGGCCTTCCTCAGTATTCCACCGGCATGGAAGTCGAGGTATCCAACTAGTGAGGGCACAGCTTGTGTGTGCGTGCCAACATGTTAGATTACCAGCAGATATGATAACACTAGAAAAGCTCAGCGTGCCACGTACGGCTGATAGAATCTACAGTCACGTATCACAGCCAAGCACTTGCAGCAAGCGCCTTCAGCTCACAACTGGGTAGAGTCACCATCTTTGTGCAGTAAGGAACCACCATGTGCTCCACAGCGATTGGAACAACGCTTTTGGCGTTTTCCCACACCACGTGGATAGACTTGGGCCCTTGGCTCATAGGTTGGGGTGTAAAGCCTCTATTTTTGGAGGAACCCAGTCGATATTGTTGATACCATATCCCATGAATTCCCATTGTATGCCCATGAAACGGTTGGCTTTGTAATATCTATGGTGATATAGAATGATTTTTATATCAATATAGAATGGTTGGTATGTCACCAATATCCCATTAATGCGCATATTAATGATATTTCGATATACCATCATTTTATGGAACTGTGTCAGGCCCCTGTCTCTCCAAAGCTGCTTTTCTTACTGAAGCAGATGCTGGAGAAGAAGTTTAGCCCTGAGTTCATATTGGATCTGGTGGGGGCATCACATAGATGGGGTATAACAAAAAACATGAGAAATGCACGGGCAAATGAGGTTTAGCCGACAAGAACAGTAATCAAGTTTCATCCTGTCGCTTCGAAAAATGCTGAAGTATTGTTGAAGAGCATTCAATACTCGCATAGTAAAGTGCAAGATTGCACGAAGGAAATGCAACATTGTCAACAAATACAACATTCCCTTCAAAAGTTCCGATGCAATAATTCTTCCACGCGCACGCCATCTTGGGACTATACTTTGCCGTTTGTTTCCAATTACTCTACGTTGTCTGATCCCCACCGTGGCAAATATCCTGACATATTTTCCGACAAACTATCTGACATCTTCTCGGACATTCTATCTGACATCTTCTTTGACATTCTATCTGACATCTTCTCTGACATTCTATCTGACATCATCTCTGACATTCTATCTGACATCTTCTCTGACATTCTATCTGGAATCTTCTCTGATTTTCTATGTGACATTTTTCTGACATTCTATCTGGCATCTTCTCCGACATTCTATCTGACATCTTCTCTGACATTCTATCTGACATCTTCTCTGACATTCTATCTGACATCTTCTCTGACATTCTATCTGACATCTTCTCTGGCATTCTATCTGACATCTTCTCTGACATCCTATTTGGCATCTTCTCTGATGTTCTATTTGACATTTTTCTGACATTCCATCTGGTATCTTCTCTGACATTCTATCTGACATCTTCTGTGACATTCTATCTGACACCTTCTCTGGCATTCTATCTGACATCCTCTCTGGCATTCTATCTGACATCTTCTCTGATATTCTATCTGACATCTTCTCTGGCATTCTCTCTGACATCTTCTCTGACATTCTATCTGACATCTTCTCTGGCATTCTATCTGACATCTTCTCTGATTTTCTATCTGACATCTTCTCTGACATTCTATCTGACATCTTGTCTGATTTTCTATCTGGCATCTTCTCTGACATTCTATCTGGCATCTTCTCTGATTTTGAATTTGACATTTTTCTGACATTCTATCTGGCATCTTCTCGGACATTCTATCTGACATCTTCTCTGACATTCTATCTGACATCTTCTCTGACATTCTGTCTGACATCTTCTCTGACATTCTATCTGACATCTTCTCTGACATTCTACCTGACATCTTCTCTGACATTCTATCTGACATCTTCTCTGACATTCTATCTGACATCTTCTCTGACATTATATATGACATCTTCTCTGACATTCTATCTGACATCTTCTCTGACATTCTATCTGACATCTTCTCTGACATTCTATATGGCATCTTCTCTGACATTCTATCTGACATCTTCTCTGACATTCTATCTGACATCCTCTCTGACATTCTATCTGACATCTTCTCTGACATTCTATCTGACATCTTCTCTGACATTCTATCTGACATCTTCTCTGACATTCTATCTGACATCTTGTCTGGCATTCTACCTGACATCTTCTCTGACATTCTATCTGACATCTTCTCTGCCATTCTATCTCACATCTTCTCTGACATTCTATCTGACATCTTCTCTGACATTCTATCTGACATCTTCTCTGACATTTTATCTGGCATTTTTCTGACATCTTATCCGGCATTTTAATGGGCATAGGGCTCAGGTCCGCCAGGTTCGGGGCGAGGCCCAGAGACCTGGTAGTCATGTCGAGAAATGCCACATTTCATAGGTGTACTCAGCACATGCAACATTTTGAAAGGCACGTACAGTATTAATTAATATTAGACGCATTTTTTTCGCAGAACTTCATTCCCCAAAGAAACTATTTTCGACGGTGTTCCTCTTTGGAAACAAAACGGCCAATTCGATCCAGTTGAGATGGCAATCTCCAACCCAGGCCACGCAGACGACCCCCCGCGCGGGAGTGTTTCAAGCAATTGTGTGATTTGTCCTCGGCAGGCCGCAACATGCAGAGCGGTGTTTGTTGATTTGGGGATTGGTCAAAAGGCAAAACCACCGATGCTTTTCCCATGTGTTTTGGGGGGAATGACATGTTTAGCAGGGTACGTGGCTTTTGATCCATGTCCAATTTGAAGATGTGTTGATGTTGGCTTTATATTATAGTTTTATCTTCATGGACGTCACTCGTGTTACGCACTTGACTTCAGTTGTTCCCAATTCCACTGGCTTTCATCGGCCAATCTGACACTTTTTCCCACCATTCACGGGTCAGAACTCACGCCCCAAATGACGCGACCCATTCCAGTAGTAAATCATCCCAAGAATCGTGGCTGTTCTTCACCAAACATCATCAACTACATTTTCAACTTTCGACTGAAACCAACTGATTTTTGCGGATTCCCATTTTTCATGAACGTTTTTGGGTGTGCGGAGCGCTCTCCGCAGACTCGTTGAAGTCGGGCGCTTTCAAGATTAGCTTGGCGGGCCTGGTGGAACTAGGTCACATGGAGGCCGGTGTCGAGTTTCGTAATTTTTCGTCCAAAAACATGGAGGATTTACATCCCCCAAAAAATATCCCAAAATAGGGTTTGGGTGAGGAAAAAAAGGGGTTTTAACCCCCAAAATGGGGATTTGATGGGTACAATTTGGATGGTTTTAGTATGGTTTCGCCATTTTAGCCATCATCTGGGGGATTTTCATGGGGACAGTGATGCTAAACCCGAATTATGGCCATGTAAAAAGGTCTCGATGATCAATCCATTGAATTGGGAGTACTCCAGCAGTTGATACAGAGGGGGAAACAAGGGACATTGAAGCAGGCAACATGTAGCTGGTGAACGTGCATGTAGTACAGCTGGCTTGATAGTTGCGTTTCTCTTGGATTTTTAAAAATATATTTCAGCACGAAGAATTAGATGTGAGTAGATTATTAGAGCAAATACAGTAGTTTGACGTGGTTACTGGGTTAGTTCTTCCAATGGTTAGCTGCTGTTGTTCAAGCCGCCTCAGAAGCCTGCTGACGGGAGTCTGGATGATGTGCTTGCAAAACAAGGACCGCCGCTCAAATTTGCAAAGCCACGACTCAGAAATCCACCGGTGGATCCATCATGGTTAAATTTGGAATCGCACCCCTAGAATCATGGAGAAAAAGGGCCAACTTTAATCATGATTGGAGCAAAAAGGCCAACTTTGTGCCATTTTGGGAACCTCCGATTTTAATGAATACTAAAGTCTTGCGTCACCAAAAGGATCCATGGCGGCGGTGTAACATGGATAATTTGCGCTCTTGTCGAGCAAAGATATCCACTCAGAACTACAAGAGCTTCTTTCTTTTTGTTGACTATAAGGATCTCAAGGGATTTGACTGAAGGTTGACTATTTCTTTCACGCGCCGACCAGGACAATCAGAAAAAACGGCGCCGCTTGCGGTATCTGAGAGAAGTCAGGATTCATCTTCGCTTTCGAAAACGCAGCAGGCGCGATCAATTATCCTCATCGCGACAATCCTCTTCATATATATAAATATATACATATATATATACACATTTCAGAAGAGTTGCAGGTTTGATACGAGGTCATCACCAAATCACCCAGACCACTAGGTGGATTTGGCTCAGATGCCAGTGGCCTTGGGAAAGTGTAGATCTTAGATGATCTCAGCGGATCTCAGATTTCAGAACGCACAGCTTGAGCTGGACTCACGTCTTCTCAGGATCAGCACTCGGATAAGCCAATGTCTTATGCGCAGTGTGAGCCATGGCTGAAATGAGCTTGGAGGTGCGTTTTTGTCTTGTTCCAGGGATGCCTTTTTACGAAAGGCTTAGTTGTTGGTTGCGAACATAGTGAGATTATAGGGGGTCTTAAAAGGGAAATGGGGGGTGGACGCGGGATGCGTTTTCTAGGTCATGTACCAGGTGGCAATTTGGTGACGGTGGGGTTCGGTTCCCCCCTGGTCCGCGAACCGCGAGCGTGAGGCTGAAGTTCATGCGTGGAGCAGACGCGCTTTCTGGTGTAGATTGTTGCAGCTCAACGGTTTGGGGAAAGTCATGCTTGAACTCTTGGTGGATTTTACCCTTGGGTCTTGTTGGGTTTGGGTGAAGCTTGCAAGGTTGGTTCAGAAAGAAAGATAATAAACAAAAAAGGCTTCATGATTGAACTGTTGATGGATTTTATCCTCGGGTTTGGGTGAGGCTTGTGATGTTGCTTAAGACAGAAAGAGAAGAAAGAAAAGACGAGTTGAGAGAGAGCTTTTGACGCTCAGCTGAAGATTGTGATGTTGGTTGAGAAAGAAAGAGAATAAACACACACACACACCTCATGCTTGAACTTTTGATCGATTTTATCTTAGGGTCTTGTTGGGTTTGGGTGAAGCTTGTGGTGTTGCTTAAGACAGAAAAGGAAGCAAGAAAAGACCAGTTAAGAGAGCTTTTTAAAGCTCAACGGGTTCTGCGACACGTCAGGCTTGAAGTTTTCATGAATTTTATCCTTGGGTCCTGTAGGTGAAGCTTGCGCAGAAAGACAGAGAAGGAAAGAAAAACCGGGACATAACCTAAAGAGGGATATAGTGAGATGTTGGCTACAGCACGTAAGGAGGTGTATTGACCAGAGGAGATGTGAGGGGGTGAGCAACGTCATGTATGCATGTATGAAGTAGGCGCTCTTTCTGGAAGCTATACGCAGCGAACGAACCGAAGGACCCACTAAAGTAGTTTGCTACATGCTGGATACATCGACCCAGCACGGTTGTTTGCGACATTTTGGATACAGCATTCGAGTGCTTTCAGGAACATGGAAGACATACTGACTTTTCGAAAACTCATAGTAGTGGTGCTTATGTTTGCTGGTTTGACCTGACTTCTTGAGATAGGAGTTGGATGATGCTCCGACAATTGTGCTTGAAACCGATTTTTGCGGAGTCTCAGTATCAAGCCAGTTTAGCACTGTCCGAGATCGCGAGATCGTGTCGAATTATTGGGAAACATCTGGCACCTGTCTCCTTGTGGTTTTGGCGTCTTCAGTGCCAAACCCAACGGACCATATCAGCCGTTGGGGTTCATGGGCAGACGCAACAACTTGTGGGGCATGTCGTGCTTGAACAGTTGATGGATTTTATCCTTGGGCCTTGTGGGTTTGGGTGAAGCTTGAATGTTGGTTTAAGATGGTTTAAGAAAGGTTAGATAGCACGACGAGGTAAGATTGTTGTTTGGTTTGCTAGGAATCCATGGGCAAAGGTAACAACTTGTGGGGCACGTCAGGCTTGAACTCTTGCTAGATCGGGGCAACCCACGCTGGCTTTGTCATTACAAAAAAACATACAACCTCATGCTGAGTCATACTGCAACTCATGGCCTGTTGTGGACTGTTGAGTTACCATCAGAGCAGCAGATCACCCTTTTTGACTTCCCCAACGAATCTCTGTCACCAGCTGAGATACTCAGGAGGCATGTGCCGCAGTTCTTCCGGAATGTGTCTGATCGAGTTGCCTCGCTGGGCACCCGAGGGGCATGGTGATACCGAGTACGCGAATTTCTCATTACATGAGGTCAGAGGTTGCACGCGGGCAGATGTGTTGAAACAACGCCATGCTGCCATGACTGTGACCCCAAAATGGGACCAGGAAGTGGAAGTCCCGGAAGTCCCGCTCCCGAGGTCCATGTCAGGAGCACCAATGGCACCTCCATCTCACAGCTCCCTGCAGTCTTTGGAATCTGTAGAAAGCGTTATAGCAGAGGCTGGGTGGAGCTGACTTTTTGGGGGAACGGCTTGCAGCTGCTCAGCTCAAGGTTTCTTTTGGTCGAGACATGATCAAAACCAAAACATTGGCATTGAAAATGGATAGCCGACGATCCTGGCGAACTTTGTCTTGGTCCCAGCTGGGTATTGATCCATTCCAAAACTCGGCAGCGTGGCACTGGCTCTAAAATGGCTTGAAGCGATTGATTTTGGTTGAATAAAATGCATCCAAATCATCCAACATGATGATAAATTATACTGCTAGTATAAAAGCAAACATTGTTTTGGCCTGAAAATTGTCGTCTTTTCAGCTAGCCATAGCTAGCCCACGTTTGGGCTGGGAGCACAAAACCTGGCTAAGCAGCATATCATGCGGTTGCATGGAAAGGTGACTTGAAAGGATACGAAAGATTAACGTTTTCAATTTGTGGAAAGTGATGACATGTGATGACCATGGGACCCATGATATAACTTGATAGTTTTTGAGGCCCAGCATGGCTCAAGCCATACCACTGGTATACCACTAGCAGGTCAGTTATGGCAGATTGCATCACTACATGAGAGGCCGTGGTGCAACGTTCAAAGACAGATGGCGCTGCGGTTGCATCTGAGGTGCGTGTGCAGTTGGCCTCAAATGGCCATTTGGGCGATTTATGGCATTTGCCGAAATGTTGATCATGGACTCAATAATTAACTATTATAATGATCTATTAAAATAATTACTTTACTTCGAGTGATCCCCACCATGACATTTATACGTTTTGTTATTGGCAAATCTTCTGGCATTCTATCTGACATATCTTCTGGCATTTTATCTGGCATATCTTCTGGCATTCTATCTGGCATTCTATCTGGCATTCTATCTGGCATATCTTCTGGCATATATTCTGACATATCTTCTGGCATTCTATCTGGCATTCTATCTGGCATATCTTCTGGCATATGTTCTGGCATATCTTCTGGCATTTTATCTGGCATATCTTCTGGCATATTATCTGGCAAATCTTCTGGGATTCTATCTGGCATATCTTCTGGCATATGTTCTGGAATATCTTCTGGCATTCTATCTGGCATTCTATCTGGCATATTATCTGGCAAATCTTCTGGGATTCTATCTGGCATATATTCTGACATATCTTCTGGCATTCTATCTGGCATTCTATCTGGCATATCTTCTGGCATATGTTCTGGCATATCTTCTGGCATTTTATCTGGCATATCTTCTGGCATATTATCTGGCAAATCTTCTGGGATTCTATCTGGCATATCTTCTGGCATATGTTCTGGAATATCTTCTGGCATTCTATCTGGCATTCTATCTGGCATATTATCTGGCAAATCTTCTGGGATTCTATCTGGCATATCTTGTGGCATTCTATCTGTCCGTTGAGGTCCAGCGGTGCACTGAGCTGGGCAGCTCGCAGGTTGAGGTCCAGCGGTGCACACTGAGCTGGGCAGGTCCGCGGTTGAGGTCCAGCGGTGCACACTGAGCTGGGCAGCTCGCAGGTTGAGGTCCAGCGGTGCACAGTGAGCTGGGCAGCTCGCAGGTTGACGTCCAGCAGTGCGCACTGAGCTGGGCAGTTGGCGAAGAGCTTGGCGACGAGTTGGCAAGGTTGGCAAGGCGGAAGTGGAGGTGGAGCAAGGCGGAAGTGGAGGTGGAAGAGGCGGAGGCGAGGAGGACGGCGAGGAGGACAGCTAGTCGAGGAGGAGGAGGAGGAGGAGGCGGGCATGCGCTCTGATAAAATCTAACAACCCTCACCTGGCAGGTGGAGAATAAAAAAAATGTTGATCTATTAAAGCTAGGACTCAATAATTATCCGAATGCCGCGCATTGGCGATACAGTAGGTCATTCGATGCAAAGAACCACACATCTTGACAGGAACAACCTGAGCAGCCCCACGCAAGATTTTCGCAGGCGTTGCTTGCAAAATCAGAAGATCGAACATCACTTGGGGGTTTCTTAAAGTGGGGGATAGGTTTCAATACTAAAATGGTTTAATTTTGGATGATTTTGGGGTACCCCCATTTTAGGAAACCTCCATTTGACCATCCCTTGGTGTCCACATATTTTGGATGTGGAATTTTGCTGCAGGCACCACCAGCTCAACTTCGTGCCCAATCTCACCAGGCAACTTTTGCATCCCAACACTGGTCCACATTTGCAACTGCAAATGCTTCAGTAAGCCGCCCACTCCCAGGAAGTGCAAAAGGTGAGGCGTTTGCATCTGCAACCACGTATGAAAATGGCGGAGGCGGGGGGGGGGCCAGGGTCAATTTCGCGGATGTATATATATATAATTATATATAATTGTCGAAGGAATTTTAGAAGTCAAACTTCCGACAGTATGGACAGATGAAAAGCAGAGATGGGCAGAGGCAGAGAGAAGAGACGAGAGGAAGAGAGCAGATCAGAGAAGAGAAAGAGTCAGAAGAAAGAAGATGCAGATGCGGGAAAAGGTAGGAAAGTCGCGAAACACTCTGTTTTTCCAATGATTTGTGGCTCCGGAGGGTCGAAAAGTAGGCTCGCTAAAGCGGCGGGTGCAGAGCCATCTGGCCAGATGAGCGATGAAAAAGTGCACGCCGTTGTGGCGCGAAGCACATGTGTAAGTGAAAAAGCTAAAAACACCTCACGTTGGGACCACTTTTGGAAGTTAAGATGTCGAAAAAATGCACGCCGTTGTGGCGCGAGCCAAATTTCGAAGTCAAAATGTACAAAACACACCAGCGTCGGACCACTTTTGGAAGTTGCGATGTCGAAAAAGTGCAC